GAATTACAATACGAAGCTAGGCTACCGGCGCCACCTGGCTATGCATGCCGCCAGCAGCGGTGACCTCAGCTGTAAGGTGTGCCTGCAGACCTTTGAGAGTACCCAGGCCCTGCTAGAGCACCTGAAGGCCCACTCACGCCGAGTAGCAGGTGGTGCCAAGGAGAAGAAGCACCCCTGTGACCACTGCGACCGGCGGTTCTACACTCGCAAGGATGTGCGGCGGCACCTCGTGGTGCACACAGGCCGGAAGGACTTCCTATGCCAGTACTGTGCCCAGCGGTTTGGCCGCAAGGACCACCTGACGCGTCATGTCAAGAAGAGCCACTCGCAGGAGCTGCTCAAAATCAAGACAGAGCCAGTGGACATGTTAGGCCTACTCAGCTGCAGCTCCACCGTCAGTGTGAAGGAAGAGCTGAGCCCTGTGCTGTGCATGGCCTCTCGGGACGTGATGGGGGCCAAGGCCTTCCCTGGCATGTTGCCCATGGGCATGTATGGCGCCCACATCCCTACCATGCCCAGCACGGGCATGCCACACTCCCTGGTGCACAACACGCTGCCCATGGGTATGAGCTACCCTCTGGAATCCTCCCCTATCTCTTCCCCAGCTCAGCTTCCTCCAAAATACCAGCTTGGATCTACCTCATACTTGCCTGACAAATTGCCCAAAGTGGAGGTGGATAGTTTTCTGGCGGAGCTTCCTGGAAGCCTGTCTCTCTCGTCCGCTGAACCCCAGCCCGCCTCACCTCAGCCGGCGGCAGCTGCGGCCCTCCTAGATGAAGCACTGCTCACCAAGAGCCCCGCCAACCTCTCCGAGGCCCTCTGCGCTGCTAATGTGGACTTCTCCCACTTACTGGGCTTTCTTCCACTCAACCTCCCCCCGTGTAACCCGCCTGGGGCCACAGGAGGCCTGGTCATGGGCTACTCCCAGGCCGAGGCGCAGCCCTTGCTCACCACTTTGCAAGCTCAGCCTCAAGATTCCCCAGGAGCTGGGGGACCACTGAACTTTGGACCTCTGCACTCCTTGCCTCCTGTCTTCACCTCTGGCCTGAGCACCACCACCCTGCCTCGTTTCCACCAGGCATTCCAGTAGCCCCCAAGGAGGCCCTCAGTCCAGTCTTAGGCTCTGTCAGGGAGCCTCTGTACCCACCCTATCTGCATCCCCCATGAAGGCAGCTGAGCTTTCAGAGCTGGGTTCAAAAAGAAAAAATTCCAGTATCTGTATGGAGCACTTGGTTTGGGGGTTCAGGCTCCAGGATCAGTTCCAGGAGAAGTCCTGAGCCCCAGCCTCATGAAAAGATCTCATACCATAGAACTTCAGGTATTTTTACTTTTACTTTTTTGATCTGAATCGGGAGCCACACTTAGCTAACCTCTCCCCCTCCAAAGCGTCAGAACCTCCTTCTCTTTGGAGAAGGAGGCGGTCTCTTGGAGAGACAGAGGGGTTTCACTTTGGATGACCTTGAGAGAAATAGCCCAAGAAGCCTGCCTCCTGGTCCCAACCTGCAGACCCCACAGCAGTTGGTCAGGCCCTGCTGCAGAGAGAGGGTCATTTGGCTCCATCGCCTGCTTCCAGCCAGTGGGCAGGAGAGAGGGCCTCTTCTTCCCACCACCCCCGTCCCTCCTATACCGACACCTCCATTTCCAGTCAGTGTTGTCCAGCAGCGGTACCGTTTACACAGTCGTCTCAGACACCCCATTCACCTCCCTTGCCAAGCTGTTAGCCTTAGAGTGATTGCAGTGAACATTGTTTACACGCCGTGAATCCATTCCCACCAGTCCATTCCAGTTGGCACCAGCCGGAACCATTTGGTACCTGGTGTTAACTGGAGCCCTGTTTACAAGGCGGAGTCGGGTCTTGCTGACTTCTCTTCACTTGAGGTCACATTTTTCCCCTGTGGGGAAATAAACTGACTTTGGACTGCTTCAGTCTCTGCCATCTTCCATGACTGTGTCTGTTCCTGCCTTCCTCGGCAGTGTCCGCGAGACAGGCAAGAAGACTGGAGCCGTTTTCTCCCAGGTCTGCAATTCTGTTCTTCTCCAAGTACATCATGACCCCCCCGCTCTTGAACTGGAGAGGGGAAGACATGAAAGGCATGCCCGCTTCCATCGCCCTCACTCCCCAACCCCTACCCCAGACATCATGAACTGTTATCATTAGTCTCAGTAGGAGGCACTCGGGTTCTAAGCTGGTGTGGATAGCAAAGGGGAGGGTGTGAAACCCTGATTCATCTCTCTCCTACTTGTCCCTTTTCCAGGAAGTTGTAGAATTGTTGGAAGAAGAGTTTTCAGGAAGTTAGGGCTGGGCAGACAGTTGAGTCCTAACCTGTGGGTACGTCATTGGCTCCCATACTAACCTTTTCTCTTCTCCACAGTGTCCCCTCTCTCTCCACCTCTTTACAGTTACCATGGACTCAGGGCCACTGTGCCTAGGCCTCTCTGCTCTCCATCAAAGGAATTCCACCTTATGCTTGTGCTCCCCCCACCCCGCAGTTTGCCCCCAATACTTAATAGGGTTTCTTGCAACAAATGATTGGTTCTCTTCTGGCTTGTGGGGCTCCCTGCCACAGACCACACAGCCCTTGCCCAGCCGAACCCCATCCCTGCTTCATTTCTCAGTTCTGCATGGGCTTCGCTCTTCCCACTCATGGGAGGGAGGCAGCTCAGGGACCACCAGTGTGGGACCCTCATGAGACACCTCCACTCTGATTCAGAAACACACTTCTACCTCTTTACTGTTAACTCCTACAGATGTGGTCAGTCGTGTGTGGGCACCTCTCCGCAGGGCCTCGTGCTGGCTTCTCCACTAGGGTTTCAGGACAAACTACCAAGGAACTGCCTCAGCCTCGTCCCAGTCCTCCTGTTCCCCCTTCCTTCTAGAAATCACTTTGCTTTATCATCAGGAACTGAGCAGGTCCAAAACCCAGGCTTCTGCTTCAGCCCAGGCCAGTACTCTTTGAGGTGAAAGCCTTAAAATGTATCTCCCTGGCCCTTGATTGGAAGCAATGTGGAGTGAATAAGCATGTTTTGATTTAGGCAGGGTAGCTTGGGATACCTTTAAAAAAAAAACACAAAACTAGATATAAAAATGTCTGGCAAGGTTAGAATCAGACTAGGTGATTTGCTTCTGAAAACTAGTTTCGGTGAGTCCCAGGGACTAATTAAGGTTTATTTTTAAAAGCGTCCCCCCATGGTACGCAGCCACCTCCTGCATGCTGTGCATGTTACTGGGACTCGTATTACAGGAAATGGTGCGTGAGGGTCCAAGCAGGACTCGGTGCTGCCATTCTTCTTATCGTCTCTGGTCTTCATCACTAGACCCAGCAGCCCTTCACCTGCTCTCTGCCACCTTCCCTGCACCCCTCATTTATAGGGGCAGGTTGGCCTCTGGCCACGGAATAGAAAATCTCGGGCTTAGAGGAGTCCACTCTTTCCTGCCTGTCCTTTCCTGTCCCTTCCTTGAATTCTCTCCCCCATTAGTGATGTTGGGAAACTCCTAGAACAGGCAGAGCAACTATTTAAAGCCTTGTAACTGGGGCCTTGCCCCTCCCTCCCCCTGCATCCTGCCACCCTCCTTTCCTCTTCCTTCAGTGCCCTCACCACACAAGGAATTTCTCTATCACTGTGAACTTTGCTGGTACATAGGAACATCTGCCTTCACCTTTTCTTGGACCATAGCCACCCAGCCGTTTCTTAATCTTCCCTTCCCCAAATTTAAAGGAAAAAAAAAAAAAGCCTTATTGGCCTGGTTGTTTGAAGGATAAGAATAGCTTTATCCTGCACTCAGTACCAAACCCACTTCAGTACCTTTACTGAGGCCATGAGAGCCTGAGGGGTGTCTGCCCAGGACAGGAGCCATGGCATGTGGCAGAGACCAAACAGGGACCAGGAAAAAGGGGCGATGCCCCCTTTCCCAACCACCTCCTCCAGCTTCAGTGATGAGCCGCCCTGAACAACGGGGCAGGCACCTCCCATCCTGCATATAGCTGGTCAAGGCTGAGTGCAGTCCTGGGGGCCAGGGGATGATCTACCCAGCTGTGTCAGCTCCAAGGATCTGTGCACATCTTAAAGAGGGAAGAGGTGGGAAAAGGAGCACCAATGAGTTTACCCCCCAACCTTTTACAAATGGCATTTAATGGAAATCCGGGAAGCAGGTGTGATTACTTTTTTGCTCGTAGATATTGTCCTAAGTTGAGATTCTTCCACTGCCCTAAACTTCCCCTAGTAGTCTGAATCCCTGCCCCACCTTCTTTTTGGTAGTTGTTTTCCCCATTCCCTCTACCTCCCCTCTTATCTAGGAGCTGTTTTTAAGCACGATTTTTTTTTTTAACAGTTTATATTGTACAGGATCAATATTTTGCTTTTTAACAAGGATATTTATGTAATAAGAAACTTTGCCTTAGGCAGGTGTTGGCCAGAAAAGTCCAGATTCCTCTGGGACCCCACCCTGGCCTCTCCTGGAGCTCTGAACCTGCTGTGGAAGGAATTGGCTATGACCTTCACCACTGGAGTAGGGTCTGCAGCAAGGGAAGGGGTGTTCTGGTTCTAACAGGAGAAGGATTCACCATGATGATGTAGTGCCTCTGTGGAGGGGTTTGGAAGAAGTATCCCAGCCCAGTTTCTTCAGATGCACGCTCACTTCCGTAGGTGCCCCCTCCACCTCTGACTACTTGGCACCAGAACTCCTGAAACCCCACTTCTCATTCGCCTCCCTCCCTCCCTCCCAGTGATCAAGGCTTTGGGGCCACTCTTTCATAATGCCAGATTATTTAAAGAGAGAAAAATACAAGACAAAAGCCTTCTAGCACTTTGTAAACACAGTGAATAACCTCTTGGAGTATTTTTGGCTTTATATAAAACAAGGTTTTTAATTGTAAAGTATAAGTGCCATTAGAAAATGCACAGGGCGTATCTTTGTTAAAGTAGATTTTTCAATGTTTTACAGAATTACATTTTCAAAAAAAGTTTTTATAATGAAGTTGTTTATTAAAAACTTCTGAATGATGTGTTTGGAAGTTGTGAACCTGTCTGATTGGGAAAGGGTTGGAGAGAGCCTGGGGAACCAGAAACTCCAGACATCTCTAGCCTCCAAGGGGATGGTGAGTGTAGGGTAGACAGTAACAACCCTTCACATTAGCACCTACAAACTTTGTACTTTAAAATTAAAGATCTTAATGGGATGTCTTTGAGGTAAGCGGCATCATACTATCACTTAAACTTGGATGCAAGGGTCAGAAAGATCAAATTGGCTTAATGAAATTTCACATAACTAAAAATGCCAGATGTAGCACAGTTTTTAGAATTGGTTCAGCCACTCAGACATGGTTGGCCTTAGCATTCCTGTGTGTCTTGGCCCTATCTTCTGTAGCTGTGACTTATCCTCAGGCCCAAAAAGTGGCTCGTCCCTTTGTGTAGAAGTAGATTGCTGCCATGATTCCATCCCTGTCATCCTCACACAGTGCTGACCAGGAAGAGAAAGGAGAGAGTTCTTGTATTCACAAAGCCCCACGAGGCATCTCCTGTCTCACTGGCCTTGATAGGGCTCTGTGCCCTCCCCCAAACCAGCCAGCGATGACAAGGCTGAGTGAAACAGAAGGAGTGGTTTCTCAAAGGAAACGGGCTACAGTTAGGGTGGGGAACGAATGCTGGTTGTCCAAGAAAAGACATGCCATCCATTGCCCAGGGGACACAGCTGGGAAGTGACAGCTAGGACCTCACCTTGCTCACACTTGGGCCTACCCACTGGGTTCAAACAAACTGTTGGGAGACTGACCTAGCTTCTGACTTTGCCACTTGGCCAGTCTCTAACAAAGGTAGTCATCACCATCCTGGGCCCTGTAGCTCTTCCTGAGATCCTCCCGCCCAGGGCTAAGACTGAGTTTGCTTTTCTGTGGTCTAGAGCCACGCAGTGTCCATAGCCACGCAGGGTAAGTCACTCCTGAGTCCAGTCCAGGAGTCCGTGGGATAGTAACAAGTGTTAATGTGTGTATAACAGGTGTTTTGTGTACAAAGGCAGTGTGCTGGCCCTTCCATCTCTTTGGCCTTCCATCTACTTCATAAATGTTCAGTGTTGACCCCAGTGCGTTCAGATCCCTGGCCGGGGCCCCAAGGGAACCCACCTCACAGTGGGTCCAAGAGCTCAGAGCGATCTTGTTCATTGGGCAGGAGTAAGCTGAAGGCTCTCTGGAGGAGGTGGCCGGGACTTCCAGGCAGAGGGGGTATTAGGTGTGCTGACCTCCATAGGCCACAAGTTTGGGAGCCAAGACCACAGGAGCACAGATGCATTTGCAGGGCTGCATGGCTGGTTCATCCAGGCTCATCCTATCCAAGCACATTCCCTGTAATTCAGACTGGAGTTCACATTGGTGAAATGTCTGGTATAGAGCAAAGGCAGCCTGGGCCTAGGACAAGGAGGAAGTGTCCACCTTTCTGTCTACAAGCCCAGGAGGATACAGTTCCTACATACCCGTGGCAGTTTGCTCCAGGTTCACAGCATTTGAGACATTCCCTTGCCCAAGATCCTTACACTCCCAAGTTTGTTTCTTCCTTTCTCTGTATAAATACTTCCAGCACCTCCATGTGCCAATCAACTACGATCATCTGCAGCTCCCAGTTTGAGTCTGGTTAGCCTGTTCTGCATATGCTGGAGTAGTTTATCCTGTGCAAAGCTACTAGTTTCCGACAGCCCCCCCCCCCCCCCCCCCGCCCCAAACCACAGTCGAGTGCGGGCGCCCGGCGGCCCCCACTGCCCACTGCAGATGGGGGGGGAAGAGTAATCGCTTGGTGTGGTGGCTGTGTTGGAAAGTTCTTGGAAAGTTCTATCTGTCCGTGACCGGAGTTACGCCTGATCCTTCGTGCCCGCTCTGAGCTGCTCCTTGCTTGGTACACCCCTGCACTTCACCCCACTTCCACCTCCAGCGCCCTCCTAATCTGGGGCCAGTTCTGTCTGGCGCTCGCGGTCGCATTCCCACCAGGCAGCCCCTTGCCACTCCGCCAGGCTGGCAGGCCCCTTGTCCCCCGCAGCCTGGGCACCCCTGCGAATCACACGCCGAAATGGGGCGCAAGGGGCGGAGCGCGCCCCTAGGAGACCGCGCCTCTCCACCTCGCGCCGCGCCGCCCCTCTGGCGGGACCCGCAGTGTCGCCCATGCACCCTGAGCCCCTCCAGGCCAGAGGCTCCCGCAGGTGATGGCGGCCGAGGGGGCGGCGGGGGGGGGTGTGCCTGGAGCCGCCACGCGCCCGCCACCAGACCTCGCCGCTGGGGTCCGCGAAGGCGCGGCACGCGGGCGCCCCCCCCCACCCCGAGACCGCCCCGCCAGTTCCGGGGCGCCGGGCAGCGGCCTGGCCCGGGCCGGGGCCCCAGAGACCTGCGGCGCCAGGGGGCGGGGGGCGCCAGGGGGCGGGGGGCGCGGGCGGGAGGTGGCGCGAAGGCCGAGGAAGTGACGACTGGGCAGGGCGCCATCTTCATGGAAGAGGCGGAGGGGTGGAGAAGCCGCAGCTCGGGGAGGAGTTGGAGGGAGGGAGCTGGGGGGTGTGTGGGAGGAGGAAGAGCTGGAGGTGGGAGCGGCGGCGCAGCAGGGCCCGGGGCCCCTAAACCTGGATGGGCCAGCGGTGGACCCGCTGGAGGCCATCTAGTGGGAGCTGGAGGCTGGGAGTGCCCAGGCAGACAGGGCCTACCTGCGGCTGCAGCGCAGGTTTGGGCGCATCCGCCGTCTGCACCTGGCCCCTAGGAGTTTCGTGGTCCAGAATATTCCTGGCTTCTGGGTCACCGCCTTTCTGAACCACCCGCAGCTGTTAGCCATGATCATAACTCGTGATGAAGACATGCTCTGCCACCTGATACACTTGGAGGTGAGGGAGCTCAGGAACGCCAGGGCCCAATGCAAGTTCAAGTTCCGCTTTTGGAACAACCCCTACTTCCGGAACAAGATGCTCATGAAGGAGTATGAGTGCAGATCCTTAGGACCGGTGGTGTCAGTTGGAACTCGAATCCGAGGGACCCGGGCCAGGAACGCCCCGTTCTGGTACACCGGGACACTGTCTGCAGCTTCTTCACCTGGTTCTCGGCAGCACAGCCTCCCAGAGGCTGACAAGGTTGCCCAGATATTAAGGAGGACCTGTGGCCCAAACCCCTGCAGTACCACCTGCTGGAGGATAGGCCCCACAGAGCCAGGAGAGGCCTGGCAAGGTGGCCCACAGAGGCCCCTCCTAGGCTCTACAAGTTCCAGTTTGGCTAAGTCCCTCGCTAGGACCTGGCCCCTACATAAGACTCCCTTCTACCTGTGCTTAGGCCAATGACATAACCCTCTGTCTGCTTGCACTTTCATGCATCCTGGCCCCTCTGAACATTCAGTGGACTCTGATCCAAGATTGTGGCCTCCATGGCCAAGCTCTTCGGTTTCCATGTGGCCTTCATGCATCACATGCCACAGTGTCTACCAAGCACCCAGTGCTATGGATGGGTACTGCCATCAGTTTCGTGGTCCGGGCCTACCTCTGATCCTGGCCTTCCTTCCCACCCTTTTTTTTTTTTTAAGTAAGCTCTATGCCTATCGTGGGGCTTGAACTCATGATTCTGAGATCGAGAGTCTCAAACTCTACCGACTGAGCCAGCCAGACACCCCCTTCCCACCCATTTTTGACATGGGGACCCGCAAGTCATTGCTAGAAGGACCAGTGCCTCTTTGAGGCCTACAACTTCAAGGCCACAACATGTTGGGCTCCATATTTATGAGTGCGGAATATTGGTTGTGGCAAACTGAGTCTCATCACCCAAGAAGAAGTAGGTGCGTTTGGTGCTGACTGTCAGTTGGCCTTGGACACTCCATCCTCAGGGCCTCAGGACTGCAGGACCACAGGCCCAGCTTCCCCAGGCTCCTGGCTCCTGGGCAGCTGGTAGAATGGTTACACAGCCAGTAGACAACTACTGGGCATGGCTGAGGTCAAGGGCCGGAAGCAGTGGGCAAGGCATTTTTTTTTTTTTAAAGATTTTATTTATTTATTTGAGAGAGAGAAAATGAGAGACAGCATGAGAGGGAGGAGAGTCAGAGGGAGAAGCAGGCTCCACGCTGAGCAGGGAGCCCGATGCGGGACTCGATCCCGGGACTCCAGGATCATGACCCGAACCGAAGGCAGTCGCTTAACCAACTGAGCCACAAGGTGCCCCCAGGCATTCTTTATAATCACACTGCTCTTCTTACTCGTGTTGGTACTACTGCACAGCCTGCTATCTGCTTCTCAAGATCTGTGGTACGGTGCCAGTGTCTGAGTTCTGCGGGGGCTGCCACCAACATTGTTGCCTGCTCCCAGGTCTGTAAGGACCTCAACAACCACCTGCCAAGGCACAAGAAAGCCCCCAACTTCTTAGGAACTCTGGCACGCTGGCATAACTGGGCATGTGCTTCAGGCAGGGGCCATGATGGGGGGCCCTCCCAGGAGCCTACCTTCCTGAGCCCCAGTCACTGCGCTCACACGGAATCCAGCCCCCCACCGCCACCCCCAGTCTCTGCCTGTTTTTAGGCTGCCAGGCTGCAGGTACAGGAGGGGTGTTTCTAGTCATGGGGCCTGCCCAGATCGCACATCTTTCTTTTCATTTTCTTTAGAATGACAGCTCAGAAACAAATAATTGAAGAAGCAAAGTTTTAAAACAGCTAAGGAGGCCGTCTTTCTTATTGAATTTGCCCCTCTTTGACCGGCTCTAGAGAAGGAGGGTCGTGCCGTAGACTGCGCCGCTGGGTCTTCGCAGCCTCTTTCCCGTGCCCCGCCCCTTTAGCAAGCACCGCCCCCCTCCCCCCCCCCCCCCCCCGCCGGCGGGGCTAGTTCTTTGTTTTGTTCTGTGCTGTGTTCTTTTAGACCAACTCCTTTCTTCTCCTTCCACCAGGTCCAACCCCCACTGTGGGATTGTGTAGGTGGAAGAGTTTAGCTGCCTCCCGAAGTCCTCCCTCCGGTAGAAGGCCTTGTCTTTTGCTTCCCAGGACCTGGGGAGGCCTTGACACAAAACACGATGGCAGATGCCCTCCGCAGGGGAATGCAATGGAAGCAGAGGCAGCTGGGAAGGTTCGGGTGGCTGAGAGACCATGGGGTGCAGGGAGCAGAGTCCCCTGGTTCTTCTAAACTTTTCTGATTCACCAAAATGTTTTTTAAATGAGAATTATTAACCGACCACTGAAACTTGAGAGGTTCTCTTGGTCCAGGTGTGACCTGTGAATATGGAAAGTGAATGCTATTTTTCATTTCACTGCTTTTAAGTAAGACCCTATGCATCTCCTTCCCCGTTTCTGCCCAGTGGAGACATTGAGCTGTCTAGGACTGCTTATTGCTTTTAGTTGAGAACATTTACAAGAATGTCCATGTAATTTCTCCATGCCACGCAGTTTGGAGACTTAGGTGGCTATTCGTGGTGGTGATCACGTTGTTGTGGCCTGTTAATACAGCCCAGTACTCAGAAGTAGTATGAATAAGGTGGTTCTGTAGGACTTAAAACTGGGAACTGTTAACATGTTTCTGTCCAGAAAGAAATCTGTAAGGTCCTGATGACTGTGTGCCCTGGTCACCATGATGTAATGGGCATTGCTGTAACTGGTGTCTCTGCCTCTAAACAGAGAAATGTTCATGGGATGGCTTTGTCCAATCAGAACAGGATTCATGGCACTTTTGTCTTCTATCTGCATGGTTAAAAAATAAAAACCTTTCAGTCTGGGGAAAAAATAACTCAGATCATGTTACTCCCCCCTCCAGAATCCTCCATTGGCAGAAAAAAAAAAAGTCCTAATTCCTTAACAGGGCTGACAAAGCCCAGCACTGTCTGGCTCCTGCCGACATCTCCCATTGATCTCCTCTTCACTCACCCCTGCACTCGCCTCTCTGCTGCTTCTTACGGAGCACATTCCGGCCTCAGGGGTTTACTGCACTTGTCTTTCTCTCTCCGGAATTTTCTTCCTACAGATATTGTCCTCTCTGGCTCCCTCCATTCTTTCAGGCCTCAGTCAAACGCCACTTCTCCGGAGGCCGTCCCGGCCTTGCCTGTCTGAAGTCATTCTCTACCTCCTTCCATCCCTTCTTCCCGCCCCTTAGTGATTTTCTCCACATCACTGTAACTCTCTGAAATGGTCCTGTTTTCCTCTCTTCTCCTTCCTCCTCTGATGGGGCAGGAGAACAGCGACACTGACGGGTTGCCATGTGATGTGTTGTGCAGCTGGAGCATATCTGGGAGTGAAAGGGCCACTACTAAGAACGACTCCGGGACAAGAAGCCTGACTGGTACAGGACCGTCACCCCAAAGAGACAGAGAGACAGGAGCCTCCCCTGACGGACACAGGAGCTGGGCCGTCACTGCCCAGCTGAAAATCTTCGGGCAGGAACAATGCCTTGTTCTTTGCTCGGCCGGGGCCCGGGACAATACTCTGACACATCTGGATAAAGTCCAGCTTGGCATACAGCTTACCCCAAATGTGTGTGATGGGGGATCGGAGGATGGAGACTCCCCTGATGTTGGGACACGGGAGCTGGGCCTTGAGGCAAAGGCAGCAGTTTAGGTAAGGTGGGGCTGGATAGGGAATTCCTGAGGGAGCCAACGGCATGACCAAAGGCACGGGGATAGGAGATGCCCGATGTGTTCAGGTACCACAGCGGGTACCCTGGGTGCGGCTGCTTGGAAGAGACAACGCTGGATGGGTAGGGTAAGGCCATTTTCTGGAAACTCAAACTCTGAATGCAAAGCCAAGGCGTTAGCCCATGGATAGTGGGGAGGGGTATCAGAGGTGGTTCAGAGGAGGAGAGCTCACAGGGCAGCTGGAGGCAAGGGGAGGGGAGTGTCTGCAACTCCAGCTCTCTAGTATCTTCAGTTTGACCCTAGGCTGCAGCTCTTCCAGGAAGCCCTCCAAGATTGCCCTTGCCTGCAACAATCTCTGCCACCTCCCAAGTGGCAGCCTTGAACCCAAACTTTGGATACTACTGCCTGGCTGGGCTACCTCCTCTGGGTTTCTCTTTTGTGTCGGACACCTGTTTGTGATGCTCCCAAGGGTATCAGAGTGAGCCTCTACGCATTCTGGTGATCCTGGAAACTGGTGCCTCAAGTCATTTGCCTGCCCTGCACCTGGTGGTTGGCAGGTGCACTTTGGCTCTTAGAGGCCACATTTGGGCCCAGTCACATGCTGCACATCCTTAGGCCCTAGACAATGGTGCTTACCAAAACGGGCATTTACCTGATCTTTCTGCTGCATGGCCAGTGGTACGCTTCTTTCACTCTGTGACTGATCTCAGCAAGGGGCCATGCCAGCCGTGTGTCCCAGCCACCCATCTGGGCCAGGAGTCTTGTCCTCAGAACCCACTTCTGCTTGCTCCCTCATTCAGATCCTGAGTCACTCATTTGTTTATCCACATATTTTAGCAACCACTCCATAATGGGCCCTGGGGCACAAGAGGACTATTCTGATCTCTGCCCTCAGTGACCTCAAGAGCCCAATGGTGAGGCCGAAAGCAGTGATACTAACCACTGACGTTTAGTCAGCACCTACTACGTGCCAGGGGCTTCCATGGACACAGCAGCCAGAGTGGCTTTCTAGACCCGAGTCAGGCCATGTCCTTCCTCTGCTCCAAACCCTCCAAAGGCTCCAATCACATGCAAGAGGAAAAACCAACGTGCTCCTCACGACCTGCAAAAGCCTCATGATCTGACCTCTTGTCACCTCTCTAACTTCATCTCCTCTGGCTCACTTCCTCCAGATCACTTTTCTGCAACACCACCTCCTGCTAGTCTTCAAACCTGGCTCAGAAACTTGCTTGCTCTGCCCTGTGCCTGGAACCTTCTTTTCCAGATACAAGTATGCAAGGCTGGCTCTTCTATTCCTTAAGGTTTCTCAGCTCATCTGTTACAATTTCATCTCTTCGGGAAGCCCTCCCTGATGACCCCTTCTCAAAACTGCCCTGTTGGGATGCCTGGGGTAACTCCGTCGGTTAAGTGTCTGACTCGTGATTTCGGCTCAGGGTCGTGACCTCAGGAACATAAGATAGAGCCCTGTGACAGGCTCCGCACTCAGAATGGGGAGTCTGCTGGAGAGTCTCTCTCTCTCTCTCCTTCTCCCTCTGCCCCTCCCCTCATGTTCGCTCTTTCTCTTTCTAAAATAAATAAATTGCCCTGTCACTCTCCCTCCCTTTCTGTGGTTTGAATTTTGTTAGAGCACTCACAACCACCTGACATTATATTCATTTATTCACTTACATACCTGCTTTTTTTTCTCCCCTTGTGGGGTCTTGTTTTATTCACTGCTGAATACTCCTCACCTAGATAGCCCCTGGCACATGTGGGGGTTCAGAAACTCTTTGTGGAATCAGTGAGTACTTTACACACTCAAGGTTTAGGAGGGTCTTCCGGGTGGGCAAGGGGAAGATTATCTCTAGGAATAGGAACCCTGTGCGGCCAGTGTAGCCTTTTTCCAGGGAGTGTCTGTGCCCATTCCTGGTCCCTCCTCCAGAGAGATGGCTGCCTGCCTTACACCTGCTCTAAGAGGGGAGGAGGGGTTTCCTGCTCTGGGGTGGAGAGCAACACGAGCCTCTGACCCCAGGGCTTTGCTCACCTCTGCTCTCAGGAGTCCGCCCTGTTCTGTTGGCCTGGGAAGGAACTTTGGACAATTTTTACAATCAGAAAAATCTGTCCCGAAACTATAGTAATTAGTTGTTACCTGTAACTGCCCTGATTACACTTTGGGGGACTTTGATTTTTTTCCTCCAAGGACATGATTTCAGCACAGAAATTCAAGGAAGTCTCTGGTATCTGTTTGCCCTCGCTCAGCAGAACTGAACACTGACTTGGGTCGGTGAACTTTGAGGCCCCCACCCCATTGCCCCCGCCATCAATGCTGACTCAGGATCTCAAGGCCATGGGGCTGTGGTGGAGCAGGCACCAACTGGAAGGCTGGTAGGCCTGCGTGTTCTTGATTCCCCACTGTGTGGCCTTGGGCATGGCTTTCTGCAGTTCTCAGCCTGTTTCTCATCTAAAGGAGAACTGGGAATTCCTTAGCAGAGGGAGAAATTCCCTGCAAGGTGCCCTACCTCCATTTACACCTCCAGCCTGCCAGGTGGCTGGCTCAGCAACAATGCTTCTGGTTGCATCTAAAAGAAACTCTAACTTTAATTGACTTAAACTCTCTTTTTTTCCTTACGTGAACATCCACAGGTGAGATGGGCTTTGGGGGTGTTTGAGTCAGCAGCTTTAAGGACTTAGACCTCCTTCTCTGATCTGCCGTCCTTCCTGTTGGTTCCATCCTCAGCTTGTTGCCAAGATGGTGGCACTAGCTCCAAGAGTCACTTTAGGAAGTGGCAACTCCAAAGAAGGCTGATTGTGTCTTCCCATGGCTTCCTTAAAATGGAAAAAACCTTTCACAGTAACTACTGTAGACTTTCTAGATCCTTTATCTAATTGGCCAGAACTGGGTAACATGTCCACTCTTGAATGCGTTATCGGCAAGGGGGAACACAAAGCCATGACTTGCTTGGAACAAGCATCAGGGGTGAAATGGATATCTGCCCACAATGTCCAGTAACTTAACTGTCACAGAACAAAGCTCAAGAGTATTTGTAGGATTACAAAAATATCCAGCACCTAACAAGGTAAAAATCACAATGTCTGGCATCCAATCAAAGATTAGCAGGCCGGGGCTCCTGGGTGGCTCAGTCGTTAAGCGTCTGCCTTCGGCTCAGGTCATGGTTCCAGGGTCCTGGGATCGAGCCCCGCATCGGGCTCCCTGCTCCACGGGAAGCCTGCTTCTCCCTCTCCCACTCCCCCTGCTGGTGTTCCCTCTCTCGCTGTGTCTCTCTCTGTCAAATAAATAAATAAAAATCTTAAAAAAAAAAAAAAGATTAGCAGGCCTATGAAGTGGCAGGCAACATGATCCATATGGAGGAAAACAAGCAATCAAAACCAATCCACAACAGAAACAGATGTCAAAATGAGCAGATTAAGGACATTAAGTTATAGCTGTATTTCATACATTAAAAAAGTTAAATAGGGGCGCCTGGGTGGCTCAGTTGGTTAAGCGTCTGCCTTCGGCTCAGGTCCTGATCCCAGGGTCCTGGGATCGAGCCCCGCATCGGGCTCCCTGCTCAGCGGGAGGCCTGCTTCTCCCTCTCCCACTTCCCCCTGCTTGTGTTCCCTCTATCGCTGTGTCTTTCTCTGTCAAATAAATAAATAAAACCTTTCAAAATAAATAAATAAATAAATAAATAAAATCTTTAAAAAAAAATAAAAAAGTTAAATATATTCTCACACACACAAATGACCCTGAGATCAAGACCTGAGCTGAGATCAAGAGTTGGACGCTTAACCAACTGAGCTGCCCAGGGGCCCCTATGGTCAAAGGATTTTTTGACAAAGGTGCCAACCATTCAACTGGGGAGGGACAGTATTTTCAACAAATGGTGTTGGGAAAAGTGGGTATCTACATGCAAAAGAATAAAGTTGGACCCCTACCTTATACCACATACAGAAATTAAACTCAAAATAGTTCACAGACTCAACTGTAAGACCTAAAACTATGAAGCTCTTAGAAGGAAACATAGGGGAAAATCTTCATGACATTGGATTTGGAAATGATTTCTCAGATGTCACAACAGAAGCACAGGCAACAAAACAAATAGATAAAATGGGCTTCATTAAAATTGAACTTTTGTGCAACAAAGGACATTATCAACAGAAGGGACAGAGAACCCAGAGTATGGGAGAAAATATTTTGAAAATCACATATCTAACAAGGGATTAATATCCAGAATATTTAAAGAACTTCTTTAACTAAACTAAAAAAATGGGCAAAGGACATGAATAGACATTTCTCCAAAGACATACAAATGGCCAATAAGCACATGAAAAGATGGGCAATATCACTTATCATTAGATAAATACAAATCAAAAACACGAGACATCACTTCACACCCACAAGGATGGGTATTATAAAAAAACAGAAAAATAAGTGTTGGCGAGGATATGGAGAAATTGGAATTTTCATAATGAGAATGTAAAATGGTGTGGCCACTGTAGAAAACAGTATGGTGGTTCCTCAAAAAATTTAACATAGAATTACCACATCATCCAGCAATTCTACTCCTAGGTATATATCTCCAAAGAATTGGAAAGCGGGGATTTGAACAGATATTTGTATACCAATGTTCATAGCACCATTATCCACAATAGCCTAAAGATGGAAGAACCCAAATGTCCACTGGTGGACAAATTGATAAAGTGTGGTATATACATACAATGGAATATTACTAAGCCTTAAAATGGAGTGAAATTCTGATACATGCTACAATGTATATGAACCCTGAAGACATGCTAAGTAAAATAAGCCAGACACAAAGGGACAGATATTGTATGATTCCACTAAAGTAGTCAAATTCAGAGATAGAAAGTAGAATAGTGGTCACCAGGGGCTGCAGTGGGAAGAGAATGAAGAGTCAGTGTTTAATGAGTACAGAGTTTCAGTTTGGGAAGATGAGGAAGTTCTGGAGATGGCTAGTGGTGATGGTTGCACAATATTATGAATGTACTTAATGCCACTGAATTGTACACTTTAAAATGGTTAAAATGGTAAATTATTGTATGTTACACATATTTTACACAAAAAGTTAAGTAGACATATGGAAGATATAAAAAAAAAAACCCACTTAAATCAAGTTTCTAAAGATTAAAAAGGCAATGTCTGAGATGAAGACCATACTGGACGGGATTAATGGCAGAGCAGACATGACAGAAGATTAGTGAATTTAAAGGCACAGCAAAAGAAACTATCTAAAATGAAACACAGAAAAAAGAATTAAAAAATAAAAGAGGCTCAATGGGCAGGTATTAGTGGTGAGACAACTTCAAGCAGCCTAACATATGGGCAATTAGAATTGCTGAAGGAGAGACAAAGGGGACAGAAAAAATATTCAAAGATATAATGGTATAAAATTTTCTGAACTTACTGAAAATAAACACACAGTTCTAAGAAGCTCAATGTACCCTAAGCATAAGAAATATGAAGACTCACCAATGCATCCGTAATTGAATAGCTCAAAACCAGTGACATAGAAAAAGCAGTCAGAGAAAAGAGACTTGTTACATACAGAGGGGACAAAGATAAGGACATCAGATCTGTTGTTGGAAGCAAGGCAAGCAATAAAAGACAGTGGAGTAACATCTTTAAAGTACTAGGAAAGGGGGAAAAAATTTGTCAACCTAGAATTCTATACCCCGCAAAAATATCTTTCAATAACAAAGGTAAAATTGAGATGTTTTAGACATATAAAAGCTAAAATAATTAATCATCAGCAAATCTTCACTATGAGAATTGTTGAAGGATGTCTTTCAGGCAGATGGAAAATGATACCAGATGAAAATCTGGACCTATACAACAGAATGAAGACCACTGGAAATGGTACCTACCTGGGTACTTACCTAAGATTTATTATTATTCAAATTCTTTAAAGACAACTGCTTAAATAAAAATAGCAACAGTATACTGTGGGATTTATAAAGTAAAAAGAAATGATAACCATAACATGAAGGCTAGGAAGGGAGAAATGTAAGTATACTATTTTAAAGTTCTTATACTATATGTAAAGTGGTTTAATATTACTTGAAGGTAGACTGTGGTAAGTTAAAGATATATATACAAGCCCTAAAGTAATCATTAAAATATCAAAACAAGAGGGTATAGCCAGTAAGCCAATGAAGGAGATTAAAATACAGTAGGGTTGCCTGGCTGGCTCAGTTGGTAGAACATGTGACTCTTGATCTTGGGATCATGAGTTCAAGCCCCATGATGGGCGTAAAGCTTACTTAAAAAAACAAACAAATAGTATTCCCCCTTTATCCGTGGGGGATACATTCCAAGACCCCCACTGGATACCTGAAACCCAAGAGAGTACTGAACACTATATATACTATGTTTTTTCCTTACACATACATACCCATGATAAAATTTAACTTAAAATTAGACACAGTAAGAGATTAATAATAAAAACTAATAATAGAACAATTATAACAATATACAGTAATAAATTTATGTGATTGCAACCTCACTTCCTCTCAAAATACCTTATTGTCCTGTACTCACCTTTCTTCTTGTGATAATGTGAAATGATAAAATGTCTACATGTCAAGATGAAGTGAGGTGAATAACGTAGGCATTGTGATGTAGCATTAGGCTACCATTGACCTTCTAATGATATGTCAGAAGGAGGATCATCTGCTTCCAGACCATGGTTGATTGCAGGTAGCTGAAACTGTGGAAAGTGAAGTCACAAATAAGGGGGGACCACAGTACGTGACTGTCCAAAGGAAGGCAGAAAAAGAAGAAAAAGGAAACAACAGATGGGACAAATAGGAAACAACTGGCAAGATTAGAGACTTAAACCTAGCCAAATCAACAATCACATGAAATGTAAATAATCTAAGTATTCCATTTAAAAAGCAAAGATTACAAGGTTGGGTAGAAAAGCAAGACCAAAACTATATGCTGCCTATAAAGAAACCCTTTATTTTATTATTTTATTTTTATTATTTTTTTAAAAGATTTTATTTATTTATTTGAGAGAGAGAGACACAGCGAGGGAGGGAACACCAGCAGGGGGAGTGGAAGAGGAAGAAGCAGGCTCCCTGCCGAGCAGGGAGCCCAATGTGGGGCTTGATCCCAGGAGCCTGGGATCATGACTTGAGCTGAAGGCAGATGCTTAACGACTGAGCCACCCAGGTGCCCCCAGAAAACCACTTTAAATATAAAATGCAAATAGGTTACAAGTAAAAGGATGGACCAACATACACATGAAAAGATGCTCAACATCACTCATCACCAGGGAAATGCAAATCAAAACCACAGTGAGATATCACCTTATACCTGATGGAATGGCTAAAATAAAAAACACAAGAAACAACAAGTGTTGGTGAGGATGTGGAGAAGTAAGAACCCTTGTGTACTGTTGATAGGAATACAAACTGGTGCAGCCACTGTGGAAAACCGTATGGAGGTTCTTCAAAAAATTAAGACTAGAACTACCCTATGATCCAGTAATCCCACTACTGGGTATTTACCTAAAGAATATAAAAATGCCAATTCAAAGGGATATAAGCACACCTATGTTTATTACAACATTACTTACGATAGCCAAATTATGGAAGCAACCTAAGAGTCCTTCAATGGATGAATGGATAAAGATGTGGTATGTATATAATTATTATTATTCAGCCATCAAAAAGAATGAAATCTTACCATTTACAATAACATGGATAGATCTACAGAGTATAATGCTAAGCGAAATAGGGCAATCAGAGAAAGACAAATACCATATGATTTCACTCGTATGTGTAATTTAAGAAACAAAACAAATTGGGGCCCTGGGTGGCTCAGTCGGTTATGTGTCTGCCTTTGGCTCAGGTCATGATCCTGGAGTCCCAGGGACCTGGAGTCCCATTTCAGAGCAAATACTACTATTAGGAATAAATTTATCCAGAGGACAATATGCATCTAATAGAGTTTCAAAATACATACAGCAAGAACAGAACTGCAAGGAGAAATATGCAAATCTAAATTGTAGTAAAAAATTGCAATACCCCTCTCACAATCACTGATAAAACAAGCAGGCAGAAAATCAACAAGGATATCATAGACTTGAACAACACTACCAACCAACTTGCCCACAGCACTACCAATCAACTTGTCCTGATTGACATTTATAGGACGCTCCACCAAGAACAGCAGAATACTCATTCTTTTCAAGTGTATGTAGACCAGATAGACCATATTTTGGGCCATAAAACAAGTCTCAATAAATTCAAAAGATTCAAGTCATACAAAGTCTCTGCCCATTATGGTTTCTGCCCACAAGAGAATTAAGTTAGAAATCAGTAACAAAAATCCTTGAAAAAAATTCCCCAATATAATATTTATAAACGAAATAATACACTTCTAAATAATGAAAAAAAAAAAAAAAAAAAAAGAAACCAAACAGAAATTTAGAAGTCTCTTGAGCTGAATGACAATGAAAACATAACATATCAGAATTTCTGGGATGTCACTAAAGCAGTACTTAGGAAGAAATTTATAACACTGAACACCTGTATTAGAGGGGGGAAAAAAGGCTTTAAATAAATGACCTCAGCTACTACCTTAGGAAACTAGAATAGAGCAACTTAAAGAGAGATGTCCACTCTCACCATTCAGCTCTGTATTAGAAGTTGTAGCCAGTGCAATAAAGCAAGAAAAAGAAACAGAAGGCATTCAGATTGAAAAGGAAGAAGTAAAACTGTCTTTACTCAGACATGATCATTTATGTAAAAATCTGATGGAATCTACAAAAAAAGCTACTAGAACTAGTAAGTGAATTTATTAGCAAGGTTTTCAGGCTATAGGATCAATATATAAAACCTTGATTGTATTCAACGGTATAATGAAAAATCAGAAATAAAAAATACCATTTATAATGGCATCAAAAATATGAAATACTTAGGAAAAATCCAACAAAAAGATGTGAAAGACCAAAACACTGAAGACTACAAAATACAGCTGAGAGAAAATTGAAGGTAAATAAATGGAGAGGTACATATTGTTCATGGATCAATTCTTCCCAAATTGATCTATAAATTTAACAGAATCCTGACTGAAATTCCAGCAGGTGTTTTTGTAGAAATCAACAAGATAATTTGAAAATTCATATGGGAATCAAAGGGCCTAGAAACCCTGAGAAAGAACAAAATTGGGAGGGCTAAAAACACCTGATCCTAAGAATTATAAAGCTACAGTAACAAAAAGTGTGGTATTGCCATAAAAAATAGATCAATGGAACAGAATAGAAATTCCAGAAATAAATCCACAAATATATGGGCAACTGATTTTTGTCAAAGGCACAAAAACAAAAGAGAAAAGATAACCTTTTCAATAAATGGTAGGAAAATTGAACTTGGACCCATACTTTGCATCATATACAAAAATTACCTGATAATGGATCAAGACCTAAACATAAAACCTAAAACTATTCTTAGAACTATGAAAGTTCTAAAAAAAAAAATAGGAAAGGGGCGCTCAATTAAGCGTCTGCCTTCGGCTCAGGTCATGATTCCAGGGTCCTGGGATTGGCTCCCTGCGTCAGGCTCCCTGCTCCATGGGAAGCCTGCTTCTTCCTCTCCCACTCCCCCCTGCTTGTGTTCTCTCTCTCTGTCTCTTTCTCTGTCAAATAAATAAAATCTTTAAAAAAAAAATAGGAGAAAATGATTGTGACCTTGGGTTAGACAAAGATGTCTTAGCTATGACACCGAAAACCAAATCCATAAAAGAAAAAATTGATAAATTTGACTTATTCAAAATTAAAATTTTGTTCTTCAAAAGACACTGTTAAAAGAATGAAAACCCAAGCCACAGACTGGGAGAAAATCTTTGCAAAGCATATACTGATAAAGGACTTGTATGCAGAATATATAAAGAACTCTCAAAACTTAAAAAAACCCCACAACCCAAGCAACTCAATTAAAAAGAAAGGCAGGGGCGCCTGGGTGGCTCAGTTGGTTAAGCAACTGCCTTCGGCTCAGGTCATGATCCTGGAGTCCCGGGATCGAGTCCCGCATCGGGCTCCCTGCTCGGCAGGGAGTCTGCTTCTCCCTCTGACCCTCCTCCCTCTCATGCTCTCTGTCTCTCATTCTCTCTCTCTCAAATAAATAAATAAAATCTTAAAAAAAAAAAAAAAAAAAGAAAGGCAAAAGATTTGGACACTTCACCAAAAAAGATATATGAATGACAGATAAGCACAGGAAAAGATTTCAACATAGTTTGTCACTAGGGATACATAAATTAAAATCACAACCTGATAGGGGGCGTCTGGCTGGCTCAGTCAGAAGAGTATGGAACCCTTGATCTTGGGGTCATGAGTTCGAGCCACAACATTGGGTGTAAAGATTACTTAAAAAAGATCACAATGTGGGGTGCCTGGGTGGCTCAGCCTGTTAAGCATCTGTCTTTGGCTCGGGTCATGATCCCAGAGTCCTCGGATCAAGTCCCGCATCAGGCTCCCTGCTCAGTGGGGAGTCTGCTTCTCCCTCTGGCACCCCGCCCTATATTTTCTCTCTCTTCTCTCTTGCAAAAATAAAATCTTTTTTTTTTTTTTTTATTTGAGACAGAGAGAATGAGAGAGACAGAGAGCACACGAGAGGGGGGAGGGTCAGAGGGAGAAGCAGGCTCCCCGCCGAGCAGGGAGCCCGATGCGGGACTCGATCCCGGGACTCCAGGATCATGACCTGAGCCGAAGGCAGTCGCCCAACCAACTGAGCCACCCAGGCGCCCAAAAATAATCTTTTTTTAAAAAATCACAATGTGATATTATGCACCTGTTAGAATGGCTAAAATTAAGATTACCCATGGAAAGCATTAGGATATGGAGCAACTGGAATTCTCATCTACTGGGATGGGAATGTAAAGTGCTACAGTCATCTTGGAGAAGGGCTTGGCAGTTTAGTTTACACGCCCTACCATGTGATCTAGCCATGGCACTGCTTCACTTATTCACAGCAGCTTTATTTGTAATAGCCCCAAACTAGAAACAATGCAAATGTCCATCAACAGATGAACAGATTAACAAATTATGGCATAGCCATACCATAGAACGATACTTGGAAATAAAAAGGAATGAGCTACTGATGTACGTAACACCATGGATGAATCTCAAAATACTTATGCTGAATGGAAAAAGATGGGGGGAAAAAAGCATACCGTATTTATACAAAGCCCTAGGAAATGCAAACGAATCTACAGTGTTAGAAAACAGATCGGTGGTTTCTTGGGGAGGGTTAGAGGCTGGAGGGCAGAATTACAAAGGACACGAGGAATCTTGGGTCGATGGGTATGATCACTATCTTGACTGTGGTGTTTCACGGCATATGTACCATGGTTTCATTTTATATATATACACAGGTGTATAGTTCTTTAAAAAGGCAGGTATGGTAGTGGTTGGAAGAACACATTTGGGAGTGTGTTTCAGCTGAATACTACTCCAGCACACACCTGCCATGAGACCCGCAGCAGGCTACCTCAAGCATGGATACCTCAGTTACCTCCTCTGTAAAAAGGGGCTAATAACACTTGATCTTAGCCAAAAGGCCGAGAAGCGATAAAAGGGGCTAATAACAGAACATGCCCTAGAGGATCATATTCAGGAGTAAATGGGCTAATACTTGGAAAGTGGAACAGCGTCTGAGCACTGGAAATACTCCTTGAATGGCACCCAGCACGCTTCTCATTGCAGATGAGGAAACTGAGGCATGGGAGTTGGAGCGGGTGGGGTTACGATAGGCAACTGGCTGTTTTTGTTTGCTTGCATCCCTTACTGTGGGAAATTGTTCTTTCGACACATTCCAAGGGATTTGGGTGGGGCTAAAACTCACAGTATCCAGTATCCTTGGAGTATGCAGCCTGTAAACAGAACTCTGTCTTCCTGTTTATAGTGACTGGTTCAAGATGTGCAAACAGTAATCCAAGCTGGGCCCATCAGAAACCTTCTCTGGGATTTACCTATATTAAATATACTGAAGTAGGGAAGGAGAGATCTTTTTCCTCTAGGCTTTCCAAGTAACGTAAGCCTAGAGTGATCTGTGACCTGCCCTCACCACCTCCTCATAGGGAAGATTTTTGACAATGGAACCGAATGGGCCAGGAAAAAGCACAATGGAGAAAGGGAGAATCCTAAGGCTACCCCTGGAGCCCCCAGATCTATCCAGACCTGAAACCAAACCACTCCTTTCCTTGATGACTTATGAACCAATTTCCCTTGGGACATAAGCCAGTGTGACCTATGTTTCTATTTGAAGGAGTCTTAGATGACAGAGAGGTGAAGTGAGTTGGCAGTAATATATTGGAGCTGGGAATCTAAAACCAGGTCTCACTGCTACCAAAGCTCATACCTGACTGCCCTTTCCTACTCGTGGGAGTGGGGCAGATGCTTGTGATTGAGGATGGAGGGACTGAGCAGATGGGAGAGGTTCTGGACTTGTACCACACAGGGGAACTATAGTGGCCGAGCCCTGGAAAGCCTGACAGGAGACTGAGTTTTGAGGGAAACCCCTTGGCTCAACCCATTTGGGAAGTTGTCTCACCTCAGGCTCCTAACCCTTGCAAGAGATTCTGGAGACATGACAACAGGACAATAGCATATTTATTTACAATTGGACCAAAAAAAGGCATACAGGCATCTTTTAATTAAAAATAATAATGATGATGATTAAAAAAGTCAGAAAAATCGATGATGTCTGAACCCTTTGTGAGGAGTCCATCTCCCTACTCCCCCCGCAAAAGAGAATCTCTTAGGGAAAAAATCCGAGATTTGAGTGAACAAAAGCCTGCAATATCATTGTCTACTGCTTAGGTTCCCTTTTCTCCAACCTGATTCTTGGTGGACACCGCCTGGTGATACGGAGTCACTGTGAACAAGGTCGAGAAGCTCACTGGTTTGACTGGTGGAGCTGGTAGGGGCTGCTGGGGGGAATCTGGAGTTGGGGTGCAGGGTGTTAAGGGGTGGGGTGTGTTCCTAGCTTAGCCAGCATCCTGAGCTTTGTCTTGTGGTGGGAGTCCCAAAGGGGCCGAACCAGGGGTGAGTGGCTGTTACTTAAACCCTAATCCCAGGGTGGGTTTGGTCTCTTGCAACTTGAGAACAAAGTTTGGGACATGCACGGGGTGTGCAGGGGGTTGGGCTGCCCAGGCCGGCCACGTTAGTTCCTTCTTTCTACCTTGGCTCCTTGCCTATTCCTGGGAATTGGAGACAGAGCAACAGAACTGAGCTTCCATCTCCCTTCCCACAAGCAGTTTTCTGGGTGTCCCCCAAAGGGGGCAAGAAACCAATGGGAGGCAGAGGCGGAGGGGATGGGACTGGCTAAGAGAGCTGGGCATGAGCACTGAGGCTGGGGGATATCAGGGAGAGAACACCTCTCCCCAGCCACCTAAAGGAGGGCATGTGAGGTCTCCCAGCCTTGTTCTGCCCTGGAAGGGGGAGGGGAGAGGGCCCGCCACCAGCACACTTTGCAAAGAGCAGCAACCCCCCGAGGAAAGTACTGGGGAGCAATCCTGAGGGGTGAGGACCCTCATTCCAGACAGACATGTGGATGCTTGGCTTGACTCTAAATACTTGGCCCTGGATCCAGGGTTTCTTGGCACATACAGTTCACTGCAAGTCTCTTCTCTGGTCCAGCAAACTCCCACTGCTCTGAGCAGGGGTGAGTCCTGCTGTCCTGGAGCACGTGGCCCCGAGTGCTTCCAGGGGATTTTCCTTGGAGCAACCAAGACTTGGTTGACCTGGAGGCCTGGCTGGCAGCCCTGCCTTGGGCCGCCCTGGGCGGGGGCTGGGGGAAGAGAGAGGAGGGAGGGGCAGGGCCGGCAGAGGCTGGCTGGCCCTGAGGACGCGTGTCCGGGCTAGAGCTGTGCTTTGTCACGGCGTCAATGGTGAGCACGGGCCATGAGAGGCTCGGAAACCTCACCGAAGCCCCAGAAGGCCAGGCATTTCCTCTTCCAGTTAATTGTGGGGTGGCCAACAGCCTGAGGAACTGAGGTGGAGACAGTGCCCAAAACCCAGTGTCTTGGTGATTTATCCATCCTGGATCCATATGTTAAAAAAAACTAAGGAGAAAACCCCCAACCAAAAAAAATAAACCTGAATAAACAGGTCTGAGAGTTCCTGCTGGAGGGAACTTTCTTAGCACTGAAGAAAAAACAACCCACAAAAACCTCATCCCCCACAAAACTGGAATAAAATGATGAAGAAAAGTCCCAGATTTATCTACAGGCCCTCCCGCCCCCCACGCAGCCCCAGGATCCAGGAACACTGTGCCAGGAGTTACATTCCGAACGAGCAGGAGGTACTTTATTTGCGTGCCTGCAGTTCCCCACGCAGAGTGGCTTCCTGTCCGTGGACGGAGTGGGCCTGGCCATGGGCCACCCCCATCAGTCTATCTTCACAGCAGCGTAGATCTTGCGCACAAACATGTAGGCTGCATAGAAGCCGATGGTGCCGGTGAGAAGCCAGAAGGACAGGACCATGAGGGCTGTGTAGCCAAAGTACAGGAGAGAGGGGATGAACTCAACGATGTCCAGCTGGGGCGCGGGTGGAGAGAGAACAGAGCGGGGGACGCTTAGTGCCAGTCCACCGTGGCCAACCGGTCCCCCCCCACCCCCTGGCCTTCTCACTGATCTCGTGGCGAAGCTGAAGCCTGGGAAGGGGAAGGGGCTCACTCCTGGTAGGCAATGAGGGGCGGGCAGAGCTCATAGCCACGGTGAGCCTTCGTCGGCACATGACCCCCATGGCAGCTTATTAACCTGCGCACAGATGGGGCACAGAGGGGTCCAACCACACTCACAGTTACCCAGCTAGGAAGCAGAAGGACATGGGATTTCCAACTGGGGCTGGAGGGCTTGGGCAGGGGGCGCCTATGGCCCAATTCCACTGACTTGGGCCATTTCTTGGTGGGGAGAGGAGGGGCCAGGAGTCTTTCTGGAGCAGGGCCTGGGAGCTCACTGGGAGACAGGGGGCACTCCAGGGGCCAGGGCCAGAGTGCCTTAGGCAGGAAGGGCCACAGCTGTGTCACTTCTTCACCCTCCACAGTCCCCAGGACAGCACAGCGACATTCCGGGATGGCTGGAGCGGCCAGGGAGGGGAGGGAGGAGAGAGGCATCCAAGGCTCCCAGCTTGAAGAGCAGAGAGCCTCTGTAAGCCAGCCTACAGTCCTCACCTCCTGACAACGTGTCCGTCACTTTTGTTAACATCTCCCAGGGGTTTCATCGGGGAGCACACTAGACTGCTCTGGAGAGTGTAGCGGCCTGGCAGGGACACCAGAGGCCTGTGCCATGCTGGTGTTGGCTGGGCTAAGTGGAGCTGGTCTGGAACCTTGCTATCAAGACCTGCTCGGCACACCAGGGCCCGAGTGGGGACTGTGCCAGGGCTCGTGGACAGACACATGGACACAAATGTCAGGAGCTCAGAGCAAGTCAATAAAGACCTTCTCCCTAAGGTCAAATATCCTCAAACTAGGGGGTGAAGGCCACGGTTTCAGGCTCAACCCTCCCGTTTCACAGGCTTTCTCAGGGCTGGAGAGGGGGTGAGGGAGGTAGGGGCCAGGGCAGTGGTGAGTCCAGTGGTGAAACTGGGACAGGGAGGCAAACAGGCATGGCCAGAAAGGCCCTTAGAATTCGACAGGCCAAGGCTGTCATTTTACAGACAGGCTCTGGGACTAGGGGTGGAGGTTTTTTTTTTTTTTTTTTTTTTTTTAAGATTTTATTTATTTATTTGAGACAGAGAGAATGAGAGAGAGAGCACATGAGAGGGGGGAGGGTCAGAGGGAGAAGCAGGCTCCCTGCCGAGCAGGGAGCCCGATGCGGGACTCGATCCAGGGACTCCAGGATCATGACCTGAGCCGAAGGCAGTCGCTTAACCAACTGAGCAACCCAGGCGCCCAGGGGTGGAGGTTTTTAGAACAGAGAGGAAAGAATGGGGCACAGGGAGGAAGGACAGGAGGTTTTGATATGACCCCGGGAGGCAGTACGGGAGGCCATGTAGCTAAGTTTTGTTTGCCTAACACTGTCTCCTGTCTTCCATCTTCCCAGGGTTTTGGGGTACCCACTCCCTACTCTGTGGTCCTGTTGGGGCTGTCAGTTTTAATACAACACCTAAGCTAGTTGATGAGAGTGCACCATCCCGCTGGACCTGAGTAACAATGAGGGATGGCATGTAACCTGGGCTGATGAGCAGCTTCCCTGGGACTGATCACTTGACAGTAGAGGAAAGATGTTCTTTTAGCTCTAGGGCTGTGAGGCTGAAAAAAGAAGACTCTAGGGCTGCCACTGGCATCTTTCCACTCTGAGGCAAGATCCTGCGTGCAGATTAAAGCCAAGAAAACACACAGATCTGAGGCGTGGCTACAGAGCCCCAACATCCTTTGAAATGCTGGATCTAACCATGCCTGACACTAGAACTCCAGCTTCTTAAACCTTCCAGTTCTACCAGTCAGTACATTCTCTTTTTGCTTAAGCCAGCTGGAATTCAGTTTTAGTCACTTTCCCCTCAGGAGTTCTGATGAATATGGGCTATAGAGGAGGGAAATCAGATTTGTTCTGAATGATTCTAGGACTGAGACTATGGCCTAAAGACGGAAGTGACAGGGTGGCAGATTTCAGTGTGAATCAAGGAAGACCCTGATAATGCCAGGAGCTAGCCAAAGAGCATGAGAATGCCAGGAGGGGGTGTCTCCTGTCACTGGATGTCCCACAGCGGGGGTCAGCACGCCTCTGCTCAAAGGGCCAGGTTATACAGAGCTTACGTTTCACCGGCCATGTGGCCCCCGTCACGACTACGCTACGTTACCACTAACACCTGAGAGCAGCCGCAGACAGGACGTAAGTGAATGAGCACGGCTGTGTCCCAATAACACTTTCTTTACAGAAACAGGCCCACCGGCACTCGTGCTTGAGTTTGCTGAGCCCTGAGCTCTGCGATCACTTGTTGGGACAGCTGGAGAAGAGGGGCACGGTCCGCAAACTGGGAGCCGCGGTGGAGCACCATCTCAGGATGATCCACACCATCCTTTCTAACCTGACCATTTTGAGAAAGGGCGTCCCAAGCCTCCACCAACTGACCCGTGACTCTGGTTTGGGAACACACCCTGCTTGCAAGCAGAGGACTGCCTGTCTTTGGGTTGTGGAGACCCGGCCACTGGCGCACCGTGGGGGACACAGTCTTCGGTGGTAGCCTTGGGAGTGAGGGGCCCACCAGAGCGAGCCTACATTCCTCTCAGGGGCCCACCTGGCTTACGTGTCATGCGTGAACCTACCACAACTGGTGTGGTGAGTGGGGATCTGTTTATATTTTGCCTCACGCCACTCTTGGGGGCAGTGAGCTCTGGGGGTGTACCTGAGTTCCTAAATTTCGGCGCTAAAGGTGATTTCAGCATTTTCTGCTTGTATCTTTATTAACCCCTTCTCAGCTACTTTCTTTATTCTTTCGTATTATTGCTCTTTTTTTCCTAGCTTGAGGTGTCCCTCGTATTTACTATGAATAGCACTTTAAGGGGAGAGATTTCCTTTAAGTTCTGCTTTGGCTGTATCTCACAGGTTTTGCAGGCAATATTCTGTCACTTATCCTACAGGCTTTCGTCTCCCAAAACACACAGAACACAGATTCTCTCTATTCTAAAAAGATGCACGTTCTAGAACAAAATGGCTTTGGTTCTCCCCACTCTTGGCAGGAGAGACTCTGACACTTGGGTTTTTCCCTAGCATCCTCCTCTCCCCCAACCTGCCCTGAAAGGGCTGGGGGCTTCCTCACCCAGGGCAGTACCTTGTTAACAAAATAGAAGATGGCATAGACGAGGACGTAGAATGCAGATCCCCCGGAGACTAGGAAATTCCTCCACCACCAGCGGTAATCCTGAAGAGGAAACAGAGTAGTCCTTATCTCCAGGTGTAATCTCTTGCCTGAGTTTCACGGTCCCCTGAGGAGCTAAAGACTTGAGGCAAGAACAGTAATATTTGGGGTGACGGGAATGTTTTATATCTGGACTTTGTGACAGTGGTTACAAAACCATACGCATTTCTAAAAACTCACTGAACTGGAGACTGAAAAGGGTGAGCTTTACTCTTCATAAATGAGATCTCAATTAAATCACCGAGGACCACAGCAAAAGAACAGTAATAACAATAACTAACATTTCTTGAGCAAACGCTAGCTACGTGCCAGGCACTATTCTAAGTGCTACACGTGAATCAGTTCATTCCCTCCTTGCAGCAGGCCCAAGTCAGGCCCTATTGCTGCCCTGTCACATGACGAGGGATGGAAGGCACAGACAGGTTAAGCAACTGCCCACCAGAGCTACTAACAGAGGAGCCGGGGTTTCAGCCCAGGCCGTCTGTCCCAGAGCCCTTGTCAAGGGGCTCTGCCAAGAGCTAGTCCCCAGAGGGAGGGAAGGCCACCCAATCTGCATCAGCTACTGGAGAAAACACCACTGGAGTGGACTCTGTACTGACAAATCTACCAGCCTTCTCTCGTGTTGCCATGACGACTTCATGTGACTATGCTGTGAGGTAGGGATCATTAACTCCAGTCTACAGCTGAATAAATGGAGGCTCAGTGAAGTGAAGTGATATCAGTACTTGCCCAAGACCTCATAGGCAGAGGAGGGAGGCCCACATGGGAAACCCAGACCGCTTCACTGACCCATTCAATGCTGGACCCAGCTCTCCTCTCCCCCAACTCCTGACCCCATTCCCCTCACCTCTGCACAGAGCTGGAAGTACACCATGACGATGCTGATTTGTGAACACGACACCACCAGGATGATGAAGACAAGGAACAGGAAGCCAAAAAGGTAATAGAACTGATTCTCCCAGATGGCCTGTGGACACATCACAGCTGGTCTTCAGCTTGGCCTGCCTCCACCCAGCATACACTGCCTGTGCTCAGAAAGCCATCCCGCAGTTACGACTGCCACACCACCTGCCACCAGGGCAGGCATGGAGAGCCACCATCATGATACCACTGGGGCCTGTGGGCCTGGCATGTGGCTCTGACTGGCCCTTGCTCCCTGGGTGAGCCAGACTGTTCTCAGGGAAGGGCTGGGGCATGGCTGACCCCGCAGTGGGTGGGCCCCAGCCTGAACTCAACAGCTTGTGGCAAATAATGAATCCCACCCGTCCCAACCAAAATTACACAGCAACCACCTCCACTCGGGCAGCCTCCCGCGTGCCGGGCACGGTGCTCCATGCTTTATGTGCATCTCCAAATGTAAGCCTACGAAAGTGTAGCCATTCACGGATGAGGAAGCCAAGGCTCAGAGAGGCTGGTGAGTGGCCCAGAGTCACACAGAGTAAGGTGGCCTCCTGGCGGGGTGGGGGAGGGGGGGCGGGCAGCCAACCCATCCTCAGACCCTTTGCCTAGGCAGGGCTGGGTGGGCAAGTGGGTCTCAGCAGGGAGGGCTTGTCCAGCACATGCTTGGTGCACGGCACCGAGCTGGGTCAGCCAGGCGCAGATGGCTCTGAGGAGCCCTTCCGCCAACTTCCATCTTGGCACGCCTGGGACAGGAGTCATCATCATCACGACAGCCACTATTTAACAAGTACTGCCTGAAAATCAAGCATGTGCCTCTTACAGACATTCTCACTCCAGCCTCACAGTGATCCTGAGAATTAGGGATCATTTACCCCCCTTTCCTGAGAGTTCTGAGTAGCAGGTCAAGATGTGTGGGGACCTGGAACTCTGGCTGCAACGCTACCGAAGCAGCCCCTACTTCCTGAGCGCTTCACACACACCAGACCCCGTTCACGTGGCCGATCTCATATATCCTTCCAAGCCATCCCGAGGGGTGGAGTGGGGACCCCGAGAGGTGAAAGGGCCCGTCTGAAATCTCATGGGTGGTGAGAGGCAGAGCACGTTAAGTGGAGGGACGGGGACCGGGCTAGCGGTGGGGGGGGCGGGGGGAGGCTGTGTGGGGAGGAGCGGGGGAGCACCCCCACCAGCCCCCTGGGGCTGACGAAGCCCTGGGGAGAAGCGGTACTCACGCTGAAGATGAAGAAAAGCTCAATGAACATGGCGCCGAAGGGCAGGATCCCGGCCATGAGAATGCTGCAGCAGAAGGGGAAGGTTAATGTGGCGAGGAGACCCAGGCCACTGGGGGGGCCCCAGGCTCCTCCCAGGCGGCACAGAGGACAGTGCTCACGCAGCTGCGGTGGTTCCAGTTCTTAGGCAGGCTTTCGTACCATTACAGCCTCCTGAGAGGGTGGCAAGGTGGGCATCACTCTCCCCATTTTACTGATGGGGAAACTGAGGTACAGAGAGGTAGGGTGAGTTGCCTAGATCGAGTGATGGTCTTAACCTGTCTCACCCGCACTTTTCCACCCCTCCCTTCCCTGTCCTGGTTCCCAGGCCAACACCAAGTCTGGTTACAACTTGGTCCTCTTGAACCTGGAGTGGAGTTAAGCTTTCATGAAGTCTACTAGAGCCTGCTGGAGCTGCAGAACACCAGTCACAAGGCCCCTGGGGGAGGGGACTCGTTCCATGTCCTCCTAAGTAAATGGCTCCGGGCAGTGTTGGCCTTGCCCACTCCAGAATTCCCTGGCCTTGCCCCTACCGGAGACTCACCCAACAAATCGGTTCATGTACCACCGCTGTTCAGGGATCTGCCGGGGAATCTGGTTGGTGCGCACAGGGTTGTCATATGGCTGCTTGCGGAAGCCGAAGTAGTAGCCCAGGTAGACAAGGGGCAGGGAGATCCCGAACCACATGCACAGCAGGGCCACCATGGTGGGGAAGGGCACCTGTGGGCACAGCGCCATGAGCCCCACCCCCCCAACAAGGCCCTGATGCCCAGGGCTAGGGGCTGTGCAGGGGGAGGTGGGCCCACTGGGTCCCACGGAAGGAGGGCCACCATGGTGGGGAAGGTCCTGCAGACCCACCCCCACAAAGCTTCTGGCCAGAACCTCCTGGGGCTCAGCAGCCCCAGGGAAAAGCGGAGGGCAGATGGAGGACCATTTGGGCTGTGAAGTAGAGAAGGAACCATGGCATCCCAGAGGAGCTTGTCAGCTGGGAATTGGGGAAAGAATGAAGAAGGACTGAGAACATGAGGGGAAGATGAGGCCAGAATGAAGGGGAATTATGTGGTATGTGAACTGGAGACAAAAGGGAAAAAACAAAAGTGCACAAACTGTGTGTTCCCGATTTTGTTAAAATAAAACACCGTAATATACTACAAAGTAAAAAAACCAGATTATAGAACTGTATGTATAGGACTCCATTTTAACAGAAGCATCCCAATATTTATGTTTATGTGCCTACAGAGCGCTCTGCCCAGAAGTTAACAGTATTTCCTCAGATGGGATGTAGCCCTTAGAACTGATTTTTCATTTTCTTCTTTATCCTATTCTATTCAGTATTATGTTTTTACAAGAATCATGCAAACTTGAAGAAGCGAATTAAGATATGCAAAGTGTTTAGAATAGTACTTACTCCAATGTAAGCACAATATAAATGTTTGCTATTTCATCATAATTTTAAAGTTACATCATTCCATTTTAAATATAGCTAAAAAGACTACAAAAATATACTAAAGATTACATCAACTTCTCTGTACTTTCCAAAATTTCTACAATGAATGTTTATCATGAGCGGTTGGTAACTGGGAGGAAAATGTTAAAAGAGAGAAGGAACACAGGTAGAAAAGAGGAAGTGAGAGGAAGAGCATGACTCTCTTTCCTGAGGGCGGCTTCCCCGACTCTGCGAAGAAGCCAGTCCTCTGGCACCCCGGACTCCCAGCCTCACCCCACAGCCTCTAACAAATGGGCACCTGCAGGTGAGGGGAGGCGGCTCTATCCACTAAGGCTGGGATGGCAAATGCCTGCCCCAGCTCCACTGCAGCCCTGCAAGGGAGCAAAAGCCCATCTCCCCACCCCCGCTGAAGTTCACAGTCCTTTTCAGTGAGTCCTGGGCAGGGCAATCACTGGGGCTGGCAGGATCCCCGCGCTGAAGGCAGGACAACCCGCGGGGGCCGGTGCCGAGGGGCAAGGACAGGAGGAAGGAGAGCCTTGTTTGGGATACTGACCTAATAAACTTGCACCAGGCAGTTTTCCCTTGGCTGAGGCAAAGGGAGATTCCCCAGCTGGCCCCTGGACTGTGGAAATCTCCCTTTGGAGAAGTGAGCTTTGGCCAGCTGTCTGCAAGAGCCCACAGGAAGGCCAGGGCTGGGGCATGGGCAGCTGGATGAGCAGGGAGGGGGGAACCCTGGGTACCCCTCCGGCCCTGGGGCTGGGAACAGAACTCCGGGGATTCAGAAAAGGGAAGAGAACAGCAGGAAGTGATCTGCCTGAGTGACCGAGCACAGCTGGCCCCCCCCTTACTTACTGCTCCTGATGAGTGCTTTCCCCAGATGAAGCAATTCAAAACGAAGCAGATGCCAAAAACCACGCCAGGGTAGAGCGTTGCCGTCTGGAAGCAAGGGAGACCAGGCTGGGGAGCCGCCACCTGTTCCGGTGGGGCCCCCAGACTAGAGGCTCTCAACCCTCCTTGTCCTTCAGGATCCAGCTCCAGGGTAATTCCTTCCAGGAAGCACTCCCTGAACTGCCCACTCCTTGCCCTCATCCCAGTCTGTGATTATGTACTGTTACCTGGCCAATGCCTGCTGACCCCCAGAGACTCTTAAGCTCTTTGGGAGGGGTGTGTTGTCGTGTTTCCCCCTACGCTCCCCCGTTCACTGATGTACGCCCAGCGTTTAGAACACAGTAACTGCTCAATAATCATTTGCTGAACAGGAATGAATGAATAAAACTTTTACAAAACACTTACGTGTGGGGCCCAACCCAAACTGCCCAGAGTTGTGGGTAAGCTTTAATTGAGTCTTAGGACTGGCGGGTGCTGGCCTCCACACACATCAGCTCACCTAATCCTCACTATGGGATTTTTAAAGAAGAGGACACTGGGGCACTTGGGTGGCTCAGTCAGTTAAGTGTCTGCCTTTGGCTCAGGTCATGATCCTGGGGTCCTGGGATCGAGCCCCGCATCGGGCTCCCTGCTCAGCAGGGAGTCTGCTTCTCCCTCTCCCCTTGTGCTCTCTCTCTCTCACGTAAATAAATAAAATCTTAAAAAAATGATAAAGAAGAGGACACGGAGGCCCAGCAATGGTAAATACACACCCCAACTTCATACAGTTAAGGTTAGATCAGAGAGGTTCAAACCCAAGCAGTCTGACCCCAGGGGCCAAACCCGTGACCCACTGCGCTGTATTCCATCCAGTCACAATCTCTCGGGCTGGGGCCCAGGCACATGGAACCAAAGCCCCAGACCTACAGGAGCCTCCTTCACTGCTGTGGCTGCCTGAGCATCCAGGAGGGCCACTGACCACAACGCCTGAGGCCCCCTGCAATCTGGTACTCAACCTCCAATGCCAATTTCACCTTTAGCCCATAGCTCTCCCACACCCAATAACTTAACTGGTTGCTGCTCCTGCACGTTGCTGTCCCTGGGCCACTATGTGTGCTGAGTTATCAACATCTCTGGGTATCTGTCGCCTGAGTGTTAATGCTGTGCCAAGGGCCTTCCATGTAGTCTCTTTCCATCCACAAAACAACCCTGAGAGGTAGGTACAACCATCCCCCACTGGAGAGATGGGGAAACCGAGAAAGAACAGAGCCAGGATGGGGATCTAGGAGATTCCAGAACCCCAGGCCGCCCTGCTGGCTGCTTCGGTCCATCTGAAACCCTCCCCTTCAAGGCCCAGCTCAGATGTCATTTCCTCCCTGCCTGCATGTTCCTGCTTTACTCTGCTGTATAGCAGGGCATTCATCTGATGAAACGTACAGACTGGACATTGTGCTATAGATACCGGGAGTGAGAACAGGCAGAAAGTTCCAGTGAGGCAGACCGACCCCCCCACTGGAGAACCACCTCCATGGCACCACTTGTAGGCACAAGGCTCTTGCCTAGGCTCCTCCAGGGTGCCGAGGAGGACACGGAGGTCGGAATGGGGGAAGAAGGGGAGGAAGCTTCTAGAGGGTGACACTGGAGCGAAGACGTAAAGGATGAGGTGAGGGGAGTGAGGGAGTCGTGTGCCCGGGCAGAGGGGAAGACAGAGGCTGGAGAGAGGAGCAGTGGGGCGTCCGCATTGCCGCAGGCCACAGCACATGCCCTCCGGTGTGCGGAGGGAGAGCACCAGGGAAGGGTCAGGGTCTTGCAGGACACCAGGGACGCCTAGGACAGTCAAAGGTCTAGGTGAGAGGCAAAAATGCCCGAAACCTGGGCAAGAGTTCTAGAGCCAGAGCTGGAGCTGGGAGGGAATTTATGGACTATTTGGCGGGAAAACCCTCAACATTTGTCATCTGAGAGGAGGCGGGCAGAAAGGAGTAGGAGGTAAGGAAGCAACCCAGCGGTCTGGCCTGGGGGTCCGGGAGAATGATGCTGCCACCAGATGCGAGGAGCAGGTGCGGGGCAGAGAGGCGGGGTACGGCATGGGGTCTGCGGAGGGAGGTCCTGCGGGTATCTGTGGGAGGCCTCCCAGGGAAGAGCTGCACAGGGAGTTGCCAGTTCCACACCTCTGTAGGTCCCCGGCTCTCGGCCCAAAGTGGCCTGAGGAAGATGCTTGATGCATCAACAATTCAGGGCCTTTCTTTGATTCTTCCAGAAGAGTCACCTTCGCAGCTCTTTTATAGTGAGGGCTTCCTCTATGCCGGGGGTGTGGCAGCCAGAGCTGAGACACCCTGGGCTCCCCTGGAGCTTTCGACAGAGTGAGAATGGTTTCAGAATGCTAGGACTACAGGCTTCTTCCAGTCTGGCACCAAGGGCTTCCCGGGGCCTGAGGGGCCTCACTTGTCTGGGAGAGAGTCAGGGTCAGGGCTCCCTGGAAGGTAGGGTTAAGTCCCAGGGAGGTAGGGTCAAGTCCCAGGCATCTGCCAGTTTCTATGGTCTTTTCTGCTGCCCAAAACTCTCCTGACCACCAGGAGGACAGAGAAGGGCAGGAGTTGTCTTCCCTGAAGAGGAAATGTAGGCACCAAAGCCCGAAGATGGGCTGAAAGCAACATGGGCCTGGCAGGTAGTTCTCTCTACTCCACTGGGCAGGGTGTCCTTCCAGCAGCCCTGCTGATCAGTTTTTGGCCTTAAACTTTGAAACCTAGGCTTGGTGTCAAATCCTGTTATTCTGAATCTTCTGTTTCTTCTCTTGTTTGAACTGTCGGACAATGTAGGCTAAAAATCACCTAAATTCAATCCGCTCTTCTTACAGATGCAGCAGCAAGGGCCCTCAGAGGTCCCAAGGTGCCTGTGGTGAGAACCCAGGGCTCCCTACCCGTGGGTGTGTGCCCCCCCCAACTCTATCACATTACCGCTCTGCCTCTGGTTCTAACCCCCACACAGACTGCCTACACTGCTGAGGAGCCCAGGAAGAAGCTTCTCAGCTCCACACCAACACTGGAAGGAGGTTAGGACACTTACACAGAAGGCTCCTTTCTTCCACCGATGGCCTTTCAGAGTACGGTACAGACGGCCAGCAGAAAATCCACCAAACACCCTGTGAGGAAATGGCAGGGGTCCACACCATGGGGATTTGTTAGCTGGAGGGCAGGCTGCCTGTGCCAGCCCCGGAATCCACTCAGACACACCTACCCCATGAACATGAAGAGGAAGCAGGCTGTGGTCATGAGAGCTCCCCGGCTGGAGGGCGACAGCATCCCGAGCATGGCCACGACTGTGGAGGGAGGGGGAGAAGAGACAGACAGGGTGGCTGATGGCCAGGGTCCCAGGCCCCAGCCCCCCATCCCAGGCTGGCCCACAGGGCCCAGGGCAGATGAGGCTAGATGAGGCTCCCTTCTCCCTTGGCCTTCCTGACAGCATACCCCCTTGCTCTCTACAGGAGAAGACCGGTCTTAGCTGGGGTTCACAGGGGAGCAGCAGTTGCTGGGTGCTGGCTGGCCACATCTTCACTGCAGCTTCCAGCCCACAGCGCACTTGCAACCAGCCCGGCACCAAGCTGAGACCATTCTGAATGCCAGCTCACTGCACCTGCCTTATCAGCCCTGCGAGGTGGAGGCTGGTTATCCATTTCTCAGATGAGAAAACGGAGGTTCACAGAGGTGAAGTGAGTTGTCCAAAGTCACAAAGCTTGGAGGTATGAGCCTGAGATACAAACTTAGGCAGATCAGCTGCTAAGAGATTAGATCTTAAATGTTCTTATCACAAGAAAAAAAATTATGTAACTATGTGCAGTGATCAATGTTAACTGAACTTACTGCGGTGATCATTTCACAATAGACACAGCAAATTGTTGTTCTGTACATCTTAAACTTACACAGTGTTATATATCAATTAAAAATAGTTAAAATGATAAAAAAATTTTTTAGGCAGACTGACTTCAGAACTGTCTATAATTACCATATATTAGGATTTTGGGGAGTTGTTTCCTGAGAAAAGACCTGGTGCTGACTTGCGTAAGTCACTTAATGCCTGACTGCGGAGGGAGGCCAACCTCACAGCACTGATGTGTGGCTTCGCTGACGGAGTGGACGTGGTAGGTGATCCGCGGTGCTGGAGAGCTCTGAGGGGCAGCAAAGCACCAGAGCCTGGTGCTGAGAGGACCCGGCCCTCCCACTGCCATGAATGACTCTGTCTGGCCCAGTGATGCTGACATGCCCCGTTCCCCAGGGGGGGAGGCCACCCCTCTCTCAGACTCAGGCCTGTGCTCTCTGGTGACAGGACCCCACCCTCAGCCCCACCAGGCCCACTCACAGATGACGATGAGGATCATACAGAAGAGCTGAATGCCTGAGCCCAGGAGGGAGCTGAGGATCATGGGGTACTGGGGGGGCCTGAAGACGTCACCGTGCACCAGCTTCCACCCAGACTCTTCCATGGTGTCTTCCTGCAGCAGAGGGTCAGAAGTGAGGCTGTTTCTTGGGGTCCAAGAGGCAGCTCCTGCAGGGACCCACACCCCCTGACTAGGGCTGAGGGTCCCTCAGGTGTCAACCAGCCTCCACTCTGACAGGAGTGTAAGCGACATGACATAGTTCTCCCCAGAGAAGTGTCACATGGAAAAGGAGGGCACAAACGCGAGGCTTATAGCTACATAAAAGGCAAACCTCCTCCCCAAATTCCGCAAGCCTGATGAATGGAAAAATAATGTAAACATCAACACACTGAAATGTTAACTGTGAGAGTTTTTGAGTGGTGAGATTTAGAAGCCATTTTTTTTTTTTTTTACTGATTATAAAAGTAATATGTGCTCTTATGTAATAAAAAAGTGAAAAAAAATTTTTGGCATATGGCATGATATTCAAATGAATAAAAAGTAATAAATGTTTTTTAGTAGAAAATTTTTTAAAAATCTGGAAAGACTGAACAAAAGATCTAAAACTCATAAGTAAACATTCAGAAATTTAAAAAACCCCAGAAAGACAGAGAAAATACAATAGTTTATACTCCCGGCACTTACTGATACCGTTGTTTTGATGCATTTCCTTTAGCCCTTTATGTGTGTGTGTGCGTGTGTGCGTATATATATATATACATGTGTGTATATATATATATATATATATTACACACACGTATGTACGTATATATATATGCATATGTATATATAATTGTTAAACACTAAAATTGGAACCAGACCCTATTTACTGAGTACTTTGTTATTTTCAGGTGATGCTTGATCACGAGCATTTCCTCATTTCCAATAAGTACTCTTTGCAGTTAATATTCTAATGTCTGTACAGCTTTCCATTGTATACTGCCCATCTCATAGACAATCCATTATTATGGAATACCAGGCTACATCCAGTTTATTTAAATTATAAATAAAACTATAATAAATATTTCTAGACCAAGTCTTTGTGGTTTCGCTGGTTTCCTTTGGAAAATTCTAGAAGAATTACTGGGTCAAAGCAAGTTAACTATTTTATAGTTCGTGGTGTGTAGAGCCAATTCATAACTCTTCAGAAAACTACCAATGTACTTGCATGGGTGGTGTGGAAAGGTGCTTAGCTCCCGTCAACCTTGCTGCCAACGAATACTACATGAAAACACACTTGGACTGATTTGAAGGTCCCAAACTGTCTTCTCATAACTGTTTGAATTTGTATTTGGCAGGGGTGGGGGTGGGGGGGGGAGGAGAGATAACCATCCCTGAGGTAAAAATGGTTTTTCACATGTTTCTGAGCCACTTATAGTTCCTAGTCAGTAAATTTTTTGTTCATTCTCAGACTCGAGATTTTGGGACTTTTTAAAACCAGTTCTTTTAACTATTGCCTCTTTTTTCAAGTTTGTCGCAAATACTGTTTGGCACTCTTCTGTTTTGTCTATATATCCTGACATGCAGAACAGTTTGTAGATTTTTCTTTTTAAAGTAGGTCCGACACCACCATAGGGCTTGAACTCACGACCCTGAGATTAAGAGCTGTGTGCTCTACCAACTGAGCCACCCAGGCACCCCCAGTTTTCAGATTTTTAACGTCATATTCATTAAGTTTTCTTTCTGTGATTTCTCCCGTTGTTTTTATGCTTAGCAATTAAAACGCTTATCCCTATCATTTTGGGTCATTAAACATTTTTTTTCCTTTTCAAACTACTCTATGACACACACACACACACACCACACGCACCCTGGGTCATTAAACATTTGTTTTCCTTTTCAAACTACTCTATGACACACACACACACACACACACACATACACACACACCCCCCACCCCTTGACCCTCGGTCTGGTAGGCCCGGAACCCTACTGCTAGTCTGCCCTCCCTCTCCAAGTCCATCCCTCCCCAGCAAAGATCTCGTACAATGTCATCCTCCTTGTTATAGTTGGCAATGTCCTTCCGGAGGGTCCGAATGATGATCATGCTCAGGATGCCTGAAACAAACGGGTGGGGAGAAAGAGGCATGAGCACTGCCAATGGAGTCTCGTGGGCTGCATGCCCTCCTGCGCCTGGGGTTTCGCTGAGTGCCGGCTGGCATGCCTGGCTTCCTCCGGTGGGCAGTAGCTAGGCGGCTGCCTCACGTCCTCTGCTGAGCAGAGTTCCACCTCAGCTATCCAGAGGTGGGCACACAGAGGGTCACTCCCCTGGCAGGGGAAGGAAAGAGCCACTGGGATGGGTTTGGGCAGTCCAAGGACACTGCTTTTTATTCCAGGGAGAACAGCGCCCCAGCTGCTCCCTGTCTTGGTCCTCCTGACCTCTGCAGCCTCGCTTCCTCCCGGGCTTACCTCCCACGCCGCCCCGCTTGCTGTTCTGTCATCATTTCACAGTCTCCATGCCTCTACTGGGGCTGCTTCCTATTCCCTTGGCCCGCGATGCCCCACTCTGCCCTGACGGCCGCTCCCACTTCAAGACTTACCCCAGGCATCTTCGCCTTTCCACACCCCAGATGGCTCAGAGGCCCCCCACTTGTACCTCCACAGCACCCTGTTTCCTCTCCAGGCAGCCCAATATAGTGGCTAAGACAATGGGTTGTAGGACTTCAAGCTAACTTAACATTTTAGGCTTGGCTCATGGAACCTGAAGGACTGAGAGGTTTGTGAAGGCTTATGAACACAGCAGCTGGCCCCTCAGTAAATGTTTAATAAACAGCACCTAGCATTATCTCTGCTTCCCATATGACACTGAAGCGACCGGTTTCACTCCACCTCTGCCCACTACCCTCCCCCTGGCTCGCCGGCCAGCTTCTCACCAAGCTTGTCCCACTGCAGGGCCGTGACCTTTGCTGGACCAGTCGTTCCCTGGGTCTCTGAATGGTGGCTCCTCCCCACTCAGAGAGGTCTTCTCTAAAGCAGCCTTCATCCTTTCTCAAGAGTTGTGTATCTGGTCACCCTGTTTATCTGCTCTATATAACTTATCACTGTCTGGACTCAACCACTTCTCTGCTTTTCTCTCTCCCACCACCAGAAGAGACTCTTTGAGGGGCTGGGCTTGCTCAACACCATATCCCCAGCATGTGGCCCAGCGCTTGCACGGACCGGCAACAATGAAATCTTGCTGAATCAATCAGTGAAGGTGTGCACGAAGGGATGTATCCGTCTTTCCCTAGGGAGCTCTCCAGAGTAGAGACTGAATCTTGTTCGCCTTTGCACACCTGATGCCTAGCACAGACCCTGATGTCTGTTTTTGACCTACATGTGGCCCCAAGAACACCCTAGAAGTCCCCCTTCAGTCGTGTGATGTCTCAGGCCTTCATCCCTCACCCCCTTGTCTCTCCACCTCCCATCCCACAGATCTCTCACCTGATAGGAAGAAGACCACCACGACAGAGTTAATGATAGAAAACCAGTGGATCTGTACATCACTCATGGTCAGGTAAGTATCCCATCGAGAGGCCCATTTGATGTCACTTTCCTGGAGGGGGAGGGAGACAGGGTGGAAAAGCAGCACTTAGAGTCAGGCCTCGTATTAGACAACTCCCGCCCAGACCAGAACCCTCCTCCCCTGCCATGGGTTCCGGCCCCTTCTCACCTCCCAGTGTACAGAGTAGGTGAAGTACAGCTCATTCTCCTTGCTGGGGTCAATTTCCTGGGGTGAGGAGTTGGTACCCTCAGGCAGGATGCACGAACTCTTCTCATCTGCTTTGATGTCTGTGAGAGACAGAGACTCAGTCTGTTCCTGTGGGGACCAGTGCCACTACCCAGGGCTGCTCTGGGGGGTGCCCTCGAGGCTGCCTGCTGCTGGAACTCAGGGTCTGAGTGGAGACAACAAAGTTATTAAACTTCCTCCCCAGAGCCCTGACCTTCCTAAGAGCCTTTGGAGCTGCCGGGTGTGGAGGAGGGGCTCTGAGTCCCTCATCTGATCTCTCTTCACTCAATTCAAGCATTCATGTATTCACTTAATCAGCCCCACTGAAGAAGAAAAACACCACCGAACTCCTGCTATCATGTTTACTCATTCACCCAGTCCCCAAAGTCCCAGCATGTCAGTAACTCAATCACCCAGATCCTTCTTTTTTCATTTATTCCTCCGTTCATCCCATTATCTGTCCATCCATTCAACCAACCACCATTTAATAAGCACCTACTCTGTGCCCAGGGCCCTGCTGGAGAGATAATGGTAAGAAGGAGACAGAGTCTCTAAACTCCAGGAAACGGTTGAGGGGAGAGATGATGTCAAAAATATCATGCAATAGGGGCGCCTGGGTGGCTCAGTTGGTTAAGCGACTGCCTTTGGCTCAGGTCATGATCCTGGAGTCCCGGGATCGAGTCCCGCATCAGGCTCCCTGCTCGGCAGGGAGTCTGCTTCTCCCTCTGACCCTCCTCCCTCTCATGCTCTCGGTCTCTCATTCTCTCTCTCTCAAATAAATAAATAAAATCTTTAAAAAAAAAAAATATCATGCAATAAACGTGACGCTGTGCTCATGGCACTCACCAGGATGGGCGCTATAATGCTCTGAGAGCACAGGATCTATGTCTTACATGAGATTTTTGGATATGATTTTGTTTGAAAACTAGGTTCCATAGCTTTAAAAAGAAAAAAAAAAAAAAAGCCAGAAACCCACGACCACTGTGGACAAAGGCCAAGCCTACTGAACTGAAGTGTGCCCTGGGTGAGCAAGGGCAGACAGGTGAGAAGCTGGACCAGCTCCTATCACACCTATAGGGCTGGGCTCTCAGATAACCCGCAGAACTGTTGACCCTGGGCCAAGTCTCGTCTCTGCCAATCACTTACACAGAGGAAGAAACACAGAAACCAGTTTCCTGACTGCTCTGTCTGCATCCCTGCCCCTTGTTCTTCAGCCGAGGGGAAGCTGGCTGGCTCTTCTGAGAGGCCCAGGCAAGTCCTAGTTGCTGTTTGTCCTCGGCCAAGTCACCAACCTCTCTGAGTCTCCGGTTCCTCATCTATAACTACCACACACTTCCGGGGGTTGCGAGAGGTGGTAAACTGGGAAGGTACCAGGCCAGGACACAACCAATGTCAGCTTTCCCCTTGCTCACCGCTTTCTCTCACGGGAATGCAGGGACCCTACCTTGGCTGGGCCCATATGCCACACTGTGGCCTATCAGCCATCTCAGAATCAAGTGCGAGAAGACCCTGGGTGTGGAAGCCCAGGCCCATCCAGCCCTGCCCCTCTGGTCATACCTCCCCACTCACCCTCCAGCCTGATGCTCTGGGGAATCACCTCGAAGCGGACGACGCGGTATGTGTGTTCCTGTTCCTCTTCCAGGTCCTCCCGGTGGTAGTAAAGGATGAACGAGAGGTGATTGTGCAGGTAAATCTAAAACAGCAATGGCGAGAACAAAATACCTAGCAGTCGAGAACCAACCAGAAAATCATCCCAGGTATCAGGTCCCTCCCCTTGTCCAGCAGGCCCAGCCGTTTCAACCTGCTAAAAGCACTGCTCTCACAGCACTCCCGCTCAGAAACCCTCCAGGGCTCCCTGGGGCTTACCAGATAAAAGCCTGGATCCCTTAGGCCTGGCATTCATGGCTTTCTATCATGTGCTCACAGCCCGTCCCTGCCCTGTGAGCAGTCCCCATGGTGCAGCTCTATTCCCGGCATTCACGCCGGCTAGGATGCCACCCCTGTCCGCACTCAGCCCAAGCCTCCCTATTTTTCAAGGCCCGCCTCCCCCGTGACAACCTGAATGCACAATGAGCTCTTCTGAGCTCTGCTGGCGTTGAGCTCGGCACGAGCACCATCACCGATGGCAACTAGGACTTAGGACGCAGGGTCCTACATGGGCAGTTCTCTTCCCAAGTGGGGTCGGAAGCCCTCTGAGGTCAGGGGCTATGCCTCAAAAGAAACGGTTTTGTCCTTTATTCCCTAGTAGAAGGCGCTCAGTTTAGAAAATTAGAAAGACAGGAGAATCACTGTTACTATCATTGCTATTATCAGCTATTATTAGCATATTTCTCAGAGGCCGCGCTATAAAGTAGCAGACACACAAATCATCCGCTTTACTCTGCTTAAACAACCCTAAAGGGCGGCTATGCACACTGCAGGCATTTTACAGGTGAGGAATCAAAGGCTCAGAGAGGAAACAGGCAGGCTCAAGGGCACTCAACAACTAGTGAGTGGTGGAGGTGGGGCCCAATACCCAGGGAGCCAGCACGCTCCTGACCACTATCCTACCTAGCTCTCCTACATACTGTTGAAATTCCATCTTTGTTTTTTTGTTTTGTTTTAATCTTATAAACACGGAATCTGACTTTCTGAGGGACTGTGCCTTCCACTTCCTGTGTAGCATCTGCCAGAGCCTTGCCCAAAGCACAGACTCTCGCAGACCACACCCAGGGGCACCAGGAGAAACCTGCCTTGGTCATCCCACCTTTTGTTATAAACCTAGAGCTAAATATTTCCGCCTTCCCTGTGGCCCCAAGGGTTCGTGACTTAGCAGGTGAAACTCCCCCAGCCCTGCGAGCACGCCGAGACCCTCTACCTTGTTGACATCTGTGAAGCCGAGCCGGTAGCCGTGTTCAAACTGCACATCTTTTTCCTTCTTCTTGTCATCACCGTCGCGGTTGGAGTACAGCTCCAGCCGGGTGGCCACAGGCAGGTTGTCGGCGATGCTGGAAACCCAAGGCCCCGCTCAGTCCCCCTGGACCGCCTCTCCCATCTGTGCCCCACCCCACACCAAGTTGGGGCCAGCAGGGAGCAGAGGACAACTTACAGGTGGACATAATAGTCTTCTGTGATCCGCTCGGCCACAAGCCGGCTCTGCTCCACGGTCAGGGTCACTGGCTTGTTGGACTGGCTGCACAGAACCTCACACTTCTTTTCGCTGTTCATTAGCACCTGGAAAGGGGTGTTGACAATCCGGTCCCCTCTCAGCACCTCTCCTGCCGTAAGAGAGACACATGGATCTCAGAGCTTCAGCCCTGAGGTTGCTGAGGTCAGCAGAGCCGTGGAGACACTGCTGACTCACAGGGCCCTTGGCAGTTCCACAGCCTGGCACTCGGTGTGCTACCCTACCTGGAGAGAGCTGGCCCCTCCAACTCCCACCTGTCCTCTCCACCCCCTCTGTGACATGCCACCAGACTTTCCAGGGCACATCAAATACGCCTCTAGGCCTCATGTGCCACTTCTTGCCCGCGTTCCTGGGAAACTCCTCCTCACCCTGTGAGCCCAGTTTCTGTTTCCCCTCTGGGAAGCCCTTCCTGACCTCTTCAGGGCCGAGCTCATCACTCTCTCCACTGATTTCCCTCTGTGTAGAGGCAGCGTTGTACAGCGGTGTAGACAGGACCAGCTACCGAGCCCTTGCTCTGCCACTTAACTATCTTAGCGGTCTTGGCCAAGTTACGTAACCTCAGTGAGCCTCAATTTCCGTATCTGTAAAATGGGGATAATACCAGTAGCCATCTCACAGGGTCCCAGTGAGAAATCAAGTACGAGGCACAGAGCAGGCCAGCAACAAATACCATCTTTATCGTCAGCATCACCTCCGCACCGTTTCATATGCTGATGATGCGACTTTGTGTGACTTTGCACCGTGCGCTGCCATGTTAAGGGTCTGCCATCCCTGACTATGAGCTCTTTTAAGGGCAGCAATGTTTCCCATTCATTTCTGTGTCTTCAGATCCCAGTTCGGGCAGGGAGGGAGGTGGGGTAAAATCCAGCACCTGAGATTTTTAGCCAAAACAGGTTTTTACTAGTGAACTGGCACACAGCGGCCAGGCGTGCAGGTGCAGAGCAGCTCAGGGCTGCCAACGACAGCCAACGGCACTTTCATTCTGAGCTGTTCCAATGGTTCCACCGGGATGATGTGACACTGGGGCAAGCTGAAGACTGACCAAGGCCAACAGACGAGGCTAGCGCCTGCACACACACAGAATCCAACACGGGCCTACCAGCAGGGACCTGCCTGGAAATGGCCCTCTCTGCCTAGTCAGTCATTCCTTCATTCATTCACTCATTCCCAGCATCTACCTGGTACTGCTTATGTGCTGGGCCCTGAACATGCGTTGCTGAACAAACTCATGGAGCTTATGGTCTAGTGGGAAGACAGACTTGGTGAAATCATCATGTAACAAGAGGAACTTGCTATAGACATGGGGAGCAGGTCTAGGAAAGTTTCTCTGAGGAAATGATGTTTGAAGTGAGCTCTAAAGGAAGAGGGGCATTGACTATGTAAACAGACAGAGGAAGAACATTCTAGATAGAAGGAACAGTATGTGCGAAAGCTCCTGGGGGTGGGAGACGTGTGCTGAGCTGGAGAGGCCTGTGTGGCTGCGGTGGAGAGAGCAAGGGGGAAAGTGACGTAAGGTGAGCCCAAGAGATGGGCTGGAGACGGACCTCAGGGCCTGTGGGCCGTGGCCAGAAGTCTGATCTTTATCCAGAGAGCGAGAAAAGGCCGTGAAGGGTTTCTTTTTCTTTTTTTTTTTTTTTTAAGATTTTATTTATTTATTTGAGAGAGAATGAGAGACAGAGAGCATGAGAGGGAGGAGGGTTAGAGGGAGAAGCAGACTCCCCGCTGAGCAGGGAGCCCGATGTGGGACTCGATCCCGGGACTCCAGGATCATGACCTGAGCCGAAGGCAGTCGCTTAACCAACTGAGCCACCCAGGTGTCCCCGTGAAGGGTTTCTAACAGGGATGGAGGAAGACATGACCTGATTCTGATGACAGAAGCATTGCACTGGCTGTTTTGTGGAGAAAACACAGAAAACGCAGGGGACTGGCTGGGGCAATGCCAGTCAGCCATGTGAGTGAGCGAGGACGGTGGCTGGACTGGGCGGTGCTGGGGGTGGACACAAGCACGCGGGGTCAGGAGCTACCAAGGGGACCGAGGGGGGCCGGGTGCGGACTGATACGAAGGACGAGTGAGCAGTGGTGGGAGACTGAGGTTCCTACAATGGGGTGCTAGGTGGGAAAAAGGAAAGAGGAGCAAATTTAGACAAAGGCCTTTTTTTGGTTTGGACACGTCAAGCAGGCAGTTAGATACCCACATTTCGGGCCCCACGGACAGGTCAGGGCTGTGGGTGGAAGCTGGGAGCTGCTGGCGTGCGAACAGTAAGCGGCAAGACGCAAGCTGCACCCCTGAGCAAAGTAGCAGCCCTGGCAAGTGTGGACGAGGCACTTAGGAGTGGGGGAGGGAGAAGAGGGGCTCCCCTTCCCCCCATTTTAGAAGCCGAGTAAGGCAGCTGAGTCTACAAAACCCAGGGACGGACTGGCCAGTGGAGAGCAAGGATGCCAGTAAGACATCTGCATGGTCTGCTGTGGAAACGATTCGGGTCCCCTTCTTCATTTCACAAAGAGAACACTAGAAGCAGACAGGGGCAGTGACTTGCCCATGAGGTGACTGCCATGGTGCTAAGCTCTTGGGCTCCTTCCTCCACACCACGCCCTACTGCCCACTTCTTTTTAGTCTACAAGGAGCTCACCTGAGGAAAGGAAGAACATACACAGAGAGGAACAAGGCTGTAGACCAAGTAAGCAGGTATCACTTCTTGATATTTAGAAATTAAATTTACACCAAGAAAGAAGGCGTGCTGGTCTGGAACAGCTCATCTCTAATATGCAAATGTTCCTTTTAACTTTTTATAGTTGGAGCAGATCGCCGGCCAGGCTAAATGAGCAACAAGCTACAAATGTGGACCCTCTAGGAGAGTGTGATGTTGTACTCCAGTACGTCTCCCACAGACACTCCGACACACACCACGGTGCGGATCTCCATCAGCACGACCACCACGAGCACAGCCCTCAGACAGCCCAGATGAACCTCTCTGGAGAAGGCAGTCCGGACAACAGCAAGAATTCTGTCTTTAGAGTTAAAAAAAACCCTGGGTAATATGTCAATTTCTCCACCTATTATTGGCCATGCGATCTGTGGAGCAAGTCTTTTAAACCCTCGAAGCTGCCGTTCCCACTACTAAGAAACAGGAGCAATGATATTGGTGAGGGACTGGGGCAAGGAACTGTACCTCCTTTTGCCTCACTTCTCTTACCTACGTCAAGGGGATACTAAGAGGAGCTACTTTGTAGGGCTGTCGTGAGAATTAACGAAGTTAAAGCACAGAAGTGCCTAGAACAGTGCCTGGCTCACAACGAGAGCCCTGTAAGTATTAATGGTGGTGATGATGAGAACACAGAGTATAAGGCTTGCCATCTAACAGGTATTTAACTAAGGAATTTTCTCCTCTATTCAGGTAGGACACTAACATTGACTGAATCCTACTGTGTCAGACATGGGTCAGAAGTGGGAGAGAGAGAGGATTATAAGGCATGATCCCTCCACTCTAAGAACCCGTAGGCCATGGAAGGGAGGCATTCCACAAAGACAGAATGAGATACAATATAACAGGACAGCTTCTGTACATAAAAGTTTCCATTTCTGTGAGGCAGAACATTCCCCAGCTTCATGGAGGATGCAGTGGCTCAGAGAGCTTATTAAGGTCACTCAATATCACACCAAGGTGTGCCCAACTGCTGAGCCATGGGCTGCCAACAAGTCCACACAAGCTCATGGGCAAGGGAGGAGCTGTTCTGTGGTATGGAAAGGGAAAAGAAGGGTAAGTGAGCAGCCCAGAGAGTCAGTGGAAGTCAGCCCAGGCCCCAAGACAACAGTAGGAGGCAAGAAGAAGGGACAGGAGGTGCTGCCTGCTTTGGCTTAAGCTGACTGCAAGGCCTGCCTCCTGCTGGTCTGGGACACCCAATACCTGGTCATAGATACACTTGTCAGCTAGGGGTTCTGGAAACATCTGAGCCAGGGGTAGCTCTGACAGAGAAGGCAGACCTTTCGGAGGCCTGCTCAAGAACCAGTTCTCGCCTTTCTCCTTCCTAAGCTATAAGAGGAAAGTCTCCTAAGTTCCTTGAGGTCAGGGACAGCATCTACCCACATTTTTATCTCCAGGACTCAACACCAAGACGGGCACAGGGTAAGTATTAATAATCGTTTCAGGAATAGAGGCTTCCAAATGTCTTTTGCTTTAAGCCCGAAATTCTACCAAATGGAGAATTATCTGAATTAGAATAAAATGGCTACTATTTATGGAACACATATGCCAGACACTGCGTTGGGTGCTTCACACATTATTTGAGGCAAGTCTTGCACAGTCACTTAGCAAGAACTACAGTGATGTCTCTGCTTCCTTTAGGGCCGGAGGTAACCACTCACTCTTTTAATTAAAAGCAGAAGAGGTTGCAGAAACCATGAAAGAGAAGGGAATATCTAGAAATCAAGGTGAGAGCCGGTCTGAGCAGTCGCCACGGGCTGCAACTCTGAAGTCCTACTACATGGACTCCAAGCCCAGCTTAGCTGTTAATTAAAAATATAACCAGAGGCAAATCACCGCACCTGTCGAATGGGCATAAACATGGCAACTGCCTCCCCAGGGCTGTTATGAGGCTTGAATAAGCCGCTACGTATGTAAACTATGTAGAACGGTGCGTAGCACACAGCAATGTCAGGGTTAACTGCTACCATCGCCACGTGAAGATTCGGCCTCCCCTCCGGGACAGGCTGACAGTGAGAGAGAACTTACCCAGATTCTCTGCCTTGTAGGTTATTTTGCTGGGCTGGCAGAAGGGCAGCGAGTAGTATTCATAAGGTAGCTGGGTTCGAGAGCTGGTCAGCTTCACAGCCTAGTGGGAGAAGAGAGGCTGTTGCTCATCAACCCAGAAACCCGGACGACTGTTTCAATAATCTACGCCCCGCGCCCCATACCCACACACACTGGTACATTAGCAACTCACTGCAGCACGTCACAGCTGCGGTACACTGGGTACTATACGGTCTACAATTCTGAGTGAGTTCATGTTTCATTTAGTTTTAGACTATATTATAGATCTTGTTTAAAATAATTACCAAATTTAATACATACTGAGAGTCTGGTATCCTTTGACCCTATAATTTCACTTCTGGGCATCTTTCCTAAGGAAATAACTCCAAATGAGAATAAACCTTAGGAACAAAGAGGTTCACTTCTTACTCATAACCACAGTGCTCTCCTGCTTGCAGTTCCTCGAGCCCGTCCAGCTGTCTCCCACCTCAGGCTCTGCACCTGCTGCCCCTCCCCACCTGACTCCATGCCTGTCCGGCTCCTTCGCACACTCAGGTCCCAGTTTACGGCCCCTCGCCTGGAAGTCCTCCTTAACTAGCTCAGCTAAGGGCATCCCCCCTTTGCTCTATTCCAACATGCGCAGTTTCCTAGGTAACATGTCTGATAAAACATAATTATTTTGTTTACCTGTTGTTTAAAAAGAAAAAAATCAGTCTCCTCCTAGAATTTAAGAGTTAGGCTCCATGAGGACAAGGACCTACAGAGCCAGGCACACAGCAGTGCTCATTAAATGTTTGCTGAGTGACTGAAGACAGGAAAAATGGGAAAACAAGTATAAGCCCCCACAATGGGAAACTTGTCAATAAATCATAATATACTCACATTCAATGAAATATGATGCAACCATTAAAAACAAGGTTTAAGAAGACCATGAAGGAAGGGTGCCTGGGTGGCTCAGTCATTAAGCATCAGCCTTCAGCTCAGGTCATGATCCCAGGGTCCTGGCATCAAGCCCTGCATCGGGCTCCCTGCTCCGCGGGAAGCCTGCTTCTCCCTCTCCCACTCCCCCTGCTTGTGTTCCCTCTCTCACTATGTCTCTATCTGTCAAATAAATAAATAAAATCTTTAAAAAAAAGACCATGAAGGAAAATGTTTAGGAAGTGATGCACGCACACAGAATATAGCTCTGGAAACAGTGACGGTCATAGGCAATGCCAAACCATAGATAAACAAAACTAATCAAAATGTTACAAAAAATAAATTCTGATCCACATGCAAATAAAATTATCTTGGCTATTTAGAAACTACCAACCATTCCTATGCACCATCTAAAAAAGTATAAATAATTTTTAGAATCCAGGTCCATGATTCTTATTTAAAACTCATAATTTGGAGGCGCCTGGGTGGCTCAGTCATTAAGCGTCTGCCTTCGGCTCAGGTCCTGATCCCAGGGTCCTGGGATCGAGCCCCACATCATGCTCCCTGCTCAGCGGGGAGTCTGCTTCTCCCTCTCCCACTCCCCCCTGCTTGTGTTCCCTCTCTTGCTGTGTCTCTCTCTGTTGAAAAATAAATTTAAAAAATCTTTAAAAGAAAGAAAGAAAGAAAGAAAGAAAGCAAGCAAGCAAGCAAGCAAGCTCATATTTTGGAATTAGGAATTATTTTGGTTTTAAAAGGGCAGTATGGACAACACCCCCCCAGCTGGATCTGGGGCAGTACCCCATATTTAATGACTATTTGTGCAAAGAAATGCAAAAATATTCATTCTAAGTGGGATAAATAAAGTCAAACACTTCAGGCCAAGGCTTGTCTATGAGAGCCTAGAAAACTGGGTTTCAGAGGTTTTTAGATGTTGGACTAAGGGACTGAGGACTACTATTAAGCATTTCATAAACTGCTTGAGCCGAAATGGCCAAAAAGTTACTGTCTATTATAACAGCCTGTTATTTTGTGTTTCTTACATTCTCTCTTTCTGAATAATCAAAAGAGTCCACGTTACAGAGATTGAGTCCCACCTTTATGTTCCCTCCACCCCTCCAGCCCCTCCCTCCCCAAAGTGTACCCTCTCACACCCCCAGCCTGTCAGGCCTGGAAGCCAGAGACACCCTCTCCTCCCTGGGCCACAAGCTTTGCTCTGGAGGGGGCTTTTGGCAGAAGCACTGGGAAGAAGGGTACTGCGGTAGGTAAGAGATGGAGTAGTTAAGGACTAACCCTATGTCTTCCTCACCACATGACCTTGGGCAAGGTGGTTTACTTCCCTGGGCCTTGGTTTCCATACCTGTGAAATATACAGTAACTCTGTAAAAAATACAGTATCTGCTTCAGAGCGTTCTTGGGGGGCATCTGAGTTAAGTCACTCACCCATAATGCCTGGTATGTAAATAACCCTCAATAAATGTTACTTTAATTACTCTTCCTGAAAGTTACAAGTCCGACTTGGGAGGAAGAAATATGCTCACAATACTGCAACACATGTAATGTTGCGTTTACTCATTAATTACTGCTTAGTTCTAAATGAACTTTTTAAAAAAGATTTTATTTATTTATACATATTATTTATTTATTTAGAGTGAGCAAGGGGAGGGGCAGAGGGAGAGGGAGAAAGAATCTGAAGCAGACTCCACACTGAGCGCAGAGCCCAACACAGGGCTCGATTCCACGACCTGAGATCATGACCTCAGCCAAAATCAAGAGTTGGATACTCAGCCATCAGAGCCATCCAGGCACCCCTAAATGCAGATGCTTTTTAATAGCCATTCATCAGACATATTTATCCACCTTGCCAGGCTATGTATTAGGAGCTCGTAACAGCAATAATTGGGAGAGAGAAGATCCTAGCTCTTTTAGAACTTGATTCCTAGTAGTTTTCATTTTCTTTTTAAACAAATGTATTATTTACATATTTATCCTCTTAACTGGTTAATTCCCCCTGGATAATCACAAGTTGCTTGTATGTGATGCCTCAAATAAGCATGACATGTAGCAATCTGCAATTTCACTAATACCTAAAATGTGACGGCAAACAAAGAGGCATGTACATGATGGCACATCCTGTGGCTGGTCCTTTGTGACCCTGTCTTCTGCTGTGATGCTCAGGAAAAGATAAACACTTGATTTTCACACAATCTTACTGCTTTGCTTTTGCACAGACCAGTTAAGATGTGGTTCACACAAAAAGGAGGCAAGAAATGTATGTTTATTTTAGGAACAGAATTTATTTTCATAACCTTATAAGTTTTGTTAGCCCTTTTTACACAATCACTAAGGTCTGAAGGACTACTTAAAAATTTCAACTACACATTACTTTGCTAAGGGAGGAACAGTGTGGTAGTCAAGTAGTTGGGGATTTACGGAGGTGAGAGAAGCCAAGTGTCCTACACTGTAAACACTGCACAGAAAAAAAAAAAACAACCCAGAAAAATACCAAAGTATTAAAAGTGGTTATATTTGGCTGATGACAGAGGAGAGTCCCTTTGGCTGGGAGCCCTTGTACAAGGTTACGCCCCTACCCTGGTGGTAGTCTATATCCAATGACTGTTTCATGGAGGGATACAGAGAACCAGTCCTCTTGCTTCAATCTGGAACAACTTCAAAGGGCCAGGCATTCCAGTTCTAGAGCTTCCCACAGGCCTCTGTTGTACCACGGCTCAGTGTCTCCCTCTGCCCTGTCCTGCTTCCCTCACTCCCTCCCAAGTGCTGACCCTGAGAGCTTATCCAGGCAAACTGCACCATATCTCCACCTTGGAGTTTGTGCCCTGGGAAACCAGATCCAAGAAGATCCACCACCAACCCCTACCCCTGCTTGGGGCTCTGAGAAGGCCACCAACACAGTGCGCTGCTAAAGAGCCATTAATCAACATGCCAGCCTACCCACTGCCCCCGATCAACCATATTTTAAGTGACTCCCTCCCCACCTTTGCCAGTTGATTGACCCACAGTGGGCATCTAGCTTGAAAAGCAAAGGTGCCTGGTTGGATGGCTTCTCTCTAGACTTGAATCGTTCATGCACCAATTTGCCTCATCTACTTACCATTGATTCTACTATTTATTTGAATCTGACTCATTTTTAGAGAAATACATTTATTTAAGGAGCTAATACTACACTATTAAAAATGGAAAACCAGGGGCGCCTGGGTGGCTCAATCGGTTAAGCGGCTGCCTTCGGCTCAGGTCATGACCCCAGGGTCCTGGGATCGAGTTCCACATCGGGCTCCCTGCTCAGCGGAGAGCCTGCTTCTCCCTCTCCCTCTGTCTGCCGCTCTACCTACTTGTGCTCTCTCTCTGTTAAATAAATAAAAATCTTTAAAATAAAAAAAAAAAGGAAAACCAACAACAGCCATAAAATCATGAGTTGAAGTAGCAGCTATGTTTCTTAATATATATTAAAAGAACATAGGTATTAAAATAAAATACATTTGTCAACTCCTTAAAATCATCTCATATACCACCACTCAGACAGGCCAGACGCAGTTTGGAAAACCTGAACTAAAGAATCCAGCTGGTGGCAGAAGCTGCAAGTGAAAACACAGAGGCCGTAACAGGCTGTGTATGTGCAGACAAGCTGAGTCATGTGGAGAGAAGCTGGCAACAGAGAGGAGGATGGAGCCAATGAAACAGGGAGGCAGGCTGAGAGAGACAGACAGACAGACACGCACACACCTAGAAACCGAGGCACGTATGAGGGTGACAGTGAGAAACAGAGCCATGGAAAGAATCAGAACCAGAGCCAGAGAGAGAGCTGAAGAGGAGGAGAGGGACACAGTGAGAAGACCACGTACAGGCAAAGCCGCAGAGGGGGAGAGAGAGATATGAAGAGGCAGAGCTGCTGGAACTGTGGGTTCCCGAGGGCACTCCCCTTCCAGCCACGCAGCAGGCACAAACCTGCTTTTTGCCACGGTGACTGGCACTGGCTTTTGTTCTCTGCAAGTGCAGGATGGACAGGACCATCTCACCAGGGTCCTCCAGACAGGCTGCCCTGCACAGAGGCTCCCTCAGTCCGGCATTGCACCTACCTTGATTTCTACAGGGTCGTTCTGGTGGAAGTTGATTGGTGCAACCCCAGGGACATAGAAGGCGCGTGTATCACGCGTGAGAGAGAGAAGCAGCAGGGCCCACGGCAACCAATCCTGCTTTGGAAGAAGAGAGGTCATAGTTGGAATGGGGGAAAGAAGTACATATCTCTCTGGGGCAGATCAAGTCATAGCACCTCCACATCTGCTTTAACTGACCCAGTCTCATCCCCACGCTGTAAGCGCTGTCTTCCAAATGCCCCCCCGAGTCCCACAAGGCACTGATTCTGCACTTCCAGAAACGAGTCACAAAACGAGTGAAGGGGGCGCCTGGGTGGCTCAGCTGGTTAAGCGACTGCCTTCGGCTCAGGTCATGATCCTGGAGTCCCTGGATCGAGTCCCGCATCGGGCTCCCTGCTTGGCAGGGAGCCTGCTTCTCCCTCTGACCCTCCCCCCTCTCATGTGCTCTGTCTCTCTCAATCTCTCTGTCTCAAATAAATAAATAAAATCTTTAAAAAAAAAACACAACAAAAACGAGTGAAGGACTTAACATGGGGACAAAAGGGAAGACTGTAATCCAGTAGCCACAGCTCCCCACTTCCAGATCAATGTTCTTTTCACTATTTCACACTGTGTCACTCTCCAGTATAGCTAGCAGGAAACAAAGTTCCATCATGTTCCACCAATTCCCTTGTCTCTATACAGCAAGAGGCTCACTTGGTCAGGAAGCTCCTATGTGACCAACATATTTTCCTACAAGCCTTCTTCAGATTGTACTGACCTCATCATCTGCCACTCTCCTCCTCACTCAGCCCCAGCTACACTGGCCTTCTTGCTGTCTCTTGTCAGCAAGCCCTTCTCTACCCCTCAGGGCCATCACCTTTACTGTTCCCTCTGCCAGAATGCCCTTCCCAACATACCTGCGTGGCTAACCTCATTCCTTATTTCATTCCGATCTCTCTCAAATGTCAGGTCCTCGGAGAAGCCTTCACTGCCGATCCTACCTAAAATAGCGTCCTCAGGGCTCCCATTCCCCACCCCTGTACTTCATTTCTCTTCATGGACTTATCTACAGACATGCACAATATGCATGTACATTATCTTATCATGTACAATATGCATTTGTTTATTTGTGCAGTCTGTCGCCCTCCACTCGAATGTGACCGCTGTGGGAGCAGGGACTGTGCGTCTCCAGGGCTTGGCACCCAGCAGGTGCTCAGTAAATGACCTGCATGCAGGATGGTCACCTGGGAATTAAAGGCAAGAAAGACCAATTACTGGCCTCAAGAAATGCACTCCATCAAAATGTCTCTTTCCCTTCATTAACAACATGCTTCACCCCCTTCAAGGAACTAGATGAGCTTCCTGATTCTCTCTCCCCACCTGGTGTGAACAAGGAACTCTTACCCAGACACCTGGATCCGGGACTCACTAGTGCTCCCGCCTCTGCCCTCTCTCTCCATCCTCTGTACCTGCTGCAGCTATGCTGACCCTCGTTTCTGTCTGCCGGACACTGGCCACAGCCTTCTGACCACCCTGCCTTCACAGCCCCTCCATCCTTCAAGTTACCACCACACACACACACACTCTCTCTCTCTCTCACTCACTCACACTCAGATGATTCTTTCTGGAACTCAGCTTTATACGGAATCAGGATCACTAAGGGGCTTGCTAAAAATGGAGACTCATCTGCATTTTTACCACTAATCTAAGAGTCTGAGCTTGGTTCACTTTTTGTAGATACATAGCTTGGTCAAAGTCTTTTTTTTTTTTTTTTTTTTTAAGCTTTTATTTATTTTTGAAAGAGAAAACACGCATGAGTGGGGGGAGGGGCAGAGGGAGACATAGGTTCCCTGCTGAGCAGGGACCCTCCCCCCTCCCCCCCACAGGGCTTAATCCCAGGACACTGGGATCATGACTCGAGCCAAAGGCAGGTGCTTAACAAACTGAGCCACCCAGGTGCCCCCCAAAAAACTTTAATTTTAAAATAAATTTATGTTTACAGAAGAGCTGCAAAGGTACTATGAGAATTCCCATATACACTTCACTCAGTTTCCTCTAATGTTAACATCTTATATAACTACGAGCAGGCAAGGCTTTTAAAAAAAATAATTAGTTTAAAAACAATTTGAAAAAGTAGCACATACACAGTAAATAATTCTAACACAGTACAAATGGGTATACCATGAAAAATAAATCTTCTCCCACTTGGGTTCCCCATAGATAACTGCTATCACCAGTTCCTTGAAAATCCCTCTAGGGGCGCCCGGGTGGCTCGGTTGGTTGGGCGGCTGCCTTCAGCTCGGGTCATGGTCCTGGAGTCCCGGGATCGAGTCCCGCATCGGGCTCCCTGCTCAGTGGGGAGTCTGCTTCTCCCTCTGATCCTCCCCCTCTCATGCTCTCGGTCTCCCATTCTCTCAGATAAATAAATAAAAAATCTTTAAAAAAAAAAAAAAAGAAAATCCCTCTAGAGACATTTTACTCATTCACAAAGGGAAGGGCTTAGTAGTAGTATGGGTATGCCTTGAACACGACAACAACAAACAGAATTTATTCTTTCTGTGATGGAAAGCCTTCTGACTGTGGGCTGACTGCAGCATCTGATTTCCTCTCTATCAGATAATTTCCTCCAATTGACCTGTTGGCAGAGATTCTGGCCCTCCCTCCCTGGAACCCCATGCTAGGCCTCACTGGTCAGTCTTTAGAAATATGAGCGCTTCCAGTGAGAAAAATAAGCCCCGTCCTCTTTGTACATAAATTCCAGTTAACTAAACTACAAGGAAAACAAATCCTGTAGAACTGGCATAAACTGCCACATAATGTTTGTTTTGTTTTGTTTTTTAAAAACTACACAACGCAACTCTGAATTTTTGAAAAATGATGCAGAAAACAGATAATCCTCGTACAAAGATACGATCAACAAACCACAGATCAATTGATCTTAGAGGAAGGATCAACAGACGAAAAATGGCAAAAGATATTTCCTAATGTGCTACAATCTTTGAATAATATAAGTTGGCAACCAAAAGCAATTCAGAAGTTCAGTTGAGAATTAATGACAGCATCACAATGACACTCAGTTTTAGATATTAAAATGTCACGATTTTGATAGTCTCATATGGCTAGAGGGATAATTAGAACACTTCTGGGGGAGCAATTTGGCACTCTATCAACCCCCCCCCCCGGCGAAGTGTATACTCTGACCCTGCAATTCTTTCAGACATGTTAAGAAAAATATGGCAAATATCCCAAAATGTACATAAAAGGATGTTCACCACAGTATTATCTAAAATAGTGAAATCAGGGGCACCTGGATGGCTCAGTCAGTTAAGTGACGGACTCTTGGTTTTAGCTCAGGGCAGTACCCCAGGGCTGTGAGACCAAGCCCTGCGTCGGGCTCTGCTATCAGTGCCGTCTGCTTGAGATTCTCTCTCTCTCTTCCTCTCCTTCTGGCCCTCCCTCCCCCTTCACACATGTGCATGTGCACTTTCTCGTCCTCTAAAAATAAAATAATAGTAAAATAAAAATTAATAAACAAAAGAGTGGAATCATTCACTACTTTTAATAGTAAAATATCCAATATTGGTGGAATGGGTTAAATTATGGTGTATTCACTTACCCATTTAAGTACTCATTAAAAAGGAAATATATCTATATTTTAAAGATTTTATTTATTCGAGAGTGAGAGAGTGCGCAAGAGAAAGCACGAGCAGGGTGTGGGGAGAAGGAGAAGCAGGCTCCCCATTGAGCAGGGAGCCAGATGTGGGGCTCGATCCCAGGACCCCGGGATCATGACCTGAGCTGAAGGCAGACGCTTAAGCAACTGAGCCACCCAGGCACCCCTAAAAAGGAAATCTTTCTTGAGTAGGAATGTTTAAGCTTTAGATTTAAGTAGAAAAAGCAGGGGCTAGAACACTGCATAGCAGGATCTCCTCCCCCCCTTTAAAAAAAGTTATCTTTGAGAAAATGTTTAGCAGGCAAAATGGGTTATCTGAGTGATGGACTTTCTTCCTTTCTGTATATCTCTATATTCTATTTTTTCTTAGGGGATTATAAAGCATTTATATCACTTAAGAAAAATAATAGAATAAACCAGGAAAAAAAAATCACCACTCTATAAACACCTAGGTTACAGTCATTCTAGCTCAGTATGGAAGGCCCCCCAGCTGCTGGCCCCAAGATACCTTTCTATCAGCACCTTCCACCTTTTCCTTCTAAGCCTTCAAGAAGATCCCAAGATTGTCCTGGGCCTTGGTGAGCAGCCTTGGTCAGGTGAGGCTGCCTTCAAGCCTCTGCTCAAGCTGTTTTTGACACCTGCCCTCACCTTATTCAAGTTCCACCTACCCTTGGAGGCCCAGTGGAAATGTTTATTTCTTCAAGAAACCCCTCAGATCTCCACAAGGGGAATTATTCTTTTCCTTTCTTTCCAAGGCACCTTGTAAATATCTCTGTGATGTCACTAGAGGAAGAGATGGAAACTACCCAATACCCAACTGAACTTTCACAACTATACATGTTCAAGGATTAGTGCTTAAGTTAGTTGACACATATTTAAATATGCACTTGTCTAAAGCACTGCTATAGTACATTTCATGTTAAATGATGGTCATCTAAGTTTCTGCCATCTCTCCACCTCCACTAATTGCTTGTCTAGCTTTGTTATGGGAGTACTCAAACAAATTAATAATAAGCACTAACCAACCTCTGATCTATAAAAATATAAAACCATCCACTCACATAAGATTGACTGCTATGGTCTGTTTGTTTAGTAAGCACCACACCTAATATGGGGCTGGACTTCATGACCCCTGAGATCAAGAGTCACATGTTACACTGACTAAGCCAGCCAGGTGCCCCTGAATACTTTGGTTCTTAATCTTTGCTGTATCCCCTTGAGAATGATTTTTTTTAAGCCTCAAATTTAAGGAGTTCTTGATACCTCCCACCTTTCTATCTCCAAGGACCTAGTCTGAGACTCCCTGAGAACATCTATTACCCCATGCCCTATTTGTACATCTAAGATAGTGGTTCTCAACCCTGATGCATATTAGAATAACCTGGAGGGTAAGTGGATTAAATTCCTAATCCAAACTCATAAAGTGGCTGAATGGATACAAAAA